CTTGCTGTGAGTCTTGGCCAACTGCAGTTCAGCTTCATTCACTTTTCTTTTCTTTCTCTCCATTTCTTCTTCCATGAGCTCCTCGGTCACGAAGATGCGCCAGATCTCACGGCGTCGCCAGCGATTCTCCATGTCAGTGTAGATTGCACTGGCTGCCTTTTTCACAAACAATTCCTCATAGTTCTGCATGCTCTTGAGCTCTTTCGATTTGCCTTCCATAGGGGCATGAGTTCCAGGAAGACAGAGGCAAGGAAGATCAAGAGCTTCAAAGACCTCAGGGCTGTTGGTTCTTAGTCTCGTTGGTTTCTTCACTTTTCCGAGGCAATGACCTTCACGATCATAGGACTTCAGACCTGTCCGGCATCGATTGCAGATGGCATCCATGCCTTGCATGCTGTTCATGGTTTTAGTGGTCCATGACATAGCCAAGTGAGGGTGCTCCAGAACCATGCCACCATCAACTTCATCCTCCATCACATCCATGGTGTCCTTGCACAAGGTGAGATGTGTCTTTTCTTCTTCTTTCTGCAATCGGAGGATTTTCTCTCTTAGATCTTGCTTCAGCATGTTCAATCGCTGAATATTGGACCAGCGAGTGCAAGGCGGTGCACACCAGACAAAGTGCGGCTTCTGTCGTCGAAGTAGATCGATGAACTGTTCTCGAACATGCTTTTGATTGAAGTCCCATTCTGGCAATCCAAAGGTCGAGACCTCAATGTCGGGATAGGTCTTGGCGAGGTGTGAGGAAAGTGCTCCTTGATCCACATAAACCTCAAAGAAAATCAACTTTCGTTGTTCATGAAGTTTGTTCAGCACTTTTGAAGTGATTTCACCAATGTCGTCCTCACCAGTCTCCAGGAAGATTGTCTCACACTCTTCATGGATGTTCAGGTTGGTTTGCGGTTCAATTTCAAAGACACTCATGATGATCTCCGAAGTTTCTTCAACAGCTAGATTCAGGTCTTCATTTTCAGGGAGGCTGTTGTAGTCGAGGAGATTGACCAAGTAGTGTCCTTTCTTTCCACGAGGAGGTTGGAACCACTCAGATTCACCGATCTTCAAAGATCCTGAAGCAAAATCTTGTTTCACGCTCCATTCTTCCAGAACCGGTCGGGCTAAAAGAAAAGGTGTGGGTCCAGGAACAACCGAAACTCGCAAAGGCAGTTTCTGGCCTTTGACCAACACTTGCAACTCCATCTCAAGCTCGGATTGAAGAAGTTCTCCACCTCCAAAGCGAAAGGCACGCTGTTGCGGGTGGACTTTGATGTTTCCAAGGAGCTGCGCGTCATACTTTTCCACCCATTTCTTCCAAGCTTCTTCACCAACCAAAGTGCGAGTGGCACCAGAGTCAATGATCGCAAAGCCAGGAGCCAGATCACTAAAGAAGATCTCATCCTTGGGAATCTCATCATATTCATCCTCCACCATCGTCACTTCATCAGAGACTTCTTTGACTCCCTGCGCTTGTACTCTGTATCTTTTGAAGCGTGGTCCATGAGCACTGTTGGAGCCAGACAAGGTGGACTTGAGGTCATTGACATTGGAGTTGGACAAGGTGCTGTTGGGCGGTCGTCTCAATCCTTGCATAGGCCTTCGCGGCATGAAGTTGGATCTCTTGCCAAAGCCTTTTCCTTTGCCTTTTCCTTTGCTTCCTTTGCTCTTTCCTTTTCCTTTACTTTTGCCATCACCTTTTCCGCCTCCTTTGTGTGTTCCACCTCCATAGTCGGGCGCAAGAGCGACGATGGGATAGAAGCCACGAGACAATGCCAATTCTTTCATTCTTTTTCTTGACTCCAGGTACGTCACATAAGCATCATCGACCTGGTCCATGGCATTCTCAAGCTCCTCAGGAACTTCATATTCCTCAGGTTCTTCATCGCCTTCATAGAAAGCATCTTCAGACCACCACCATTCATCATCTTCGCCATCTTCATAGAGCTCTTCGTCGACGTCCTCTTCGAAGAACAGGTCGTCCTTGAAGTGCTTTCCTCCGATATCTTTGTGGTTTGGCTTGTGGTCACCGCCAAAAACACGTAGAAGAGCTTTGTGAACAGCTTCATATTCAAGTTCTCCGTGACACAAAGCTTTGATCTGCAGGTGAGTCCATCGAGGAATGCCAGATCTGGTCAACAAGTGCCAACCTGCGAGAAGAGGAGGAAGATCAATCTTCACTTCTTTCAACTTTTTCAAGGCGGTGCGATGACGCACCAAGTAGGCTTGAAGTTCTTCACCTTTGTTTCGCTGAAAATTCTGAAAGAACTCTTCACACCTGAAAGGTGTTTCGACCTGCTCCTCATACTGGTAGAGGGTGTCAAGCATTCGAAGGATGGGAGCGAAAGGTGTGGTTGAAGTGGTGATGTCATTCAAGTCCAATTGCTCTGCAGCTTCCCAGGCTATATCGCGAAGAAGCGATACCACAAGGAGGGCGCCTTCGATCTCAGCTTCGCTCGAACGGCGATGGCACTGGAGGGCATACAACTCAAGTCTTCTTCTATAGCTGCGGTAGTTTGACTGACATAGTCCATCCGAAGAAGGAGCAGCTTTTGCGAGGCCACGGTCAAGACCTCGGAAGCCATTGCCATAGCCACCATTCGTAGGGCTGGAAGATCCGTTCGCTCGAGTGGGTGAAGGTGCTTCTCGGACAGGTGAAGGTGGAACAGGAACGTCAGCATGGGGTCCATCTTGTTCTCGTCTTCTTCTTTGCTGCTGACTCATGGTTCCCCTGTCCTGCCGAACACGATCTTTATGGTGAGCTCACTCTCGAAGTCAAGGTGGTCCTTGAAGAGGTGTTCAACGATGTAGGGTGCCCTTGACAAATTCAACGAGGATCGTGATGAGCTCCGCTACCAATATCAAAGCGACGTAGCTCTCGAGGTCCACGTGCTAACGACAAACGAAGGTGGTGATCGATGATCAACGCACTGCTTTTCCAAGATGTCGAGCCACTGGCGGTCTCAAGGGCCCTAAAGGCGTCGAACACATAAGATGGCCGCGGATGCGGCGAAAACACACATTGCAAATCCTGACATGTAAAATTCATGAATGAGCATTCGCACATTGACATTGCATTATATTTCCAAACCACCAATCTCAAGGAATATAAGTCATTACGATCGAAAGATCTATTCTGTAACATCTTCTCCCCTCAGAGAAGGAAACACAACAGGTCCAGGTTCTGCCCTTCTGCCTAGATTTCTCCATGAACAGCAGTGGCCAGGAATTGCCTGTTGTTCCCTCTCGCGACTTCTGCGTCTGTGAGTCTTTGCCACAACAGACTTATAGTGAAAATCTCAGGCGCGGAATCTAAGGCGTAAAGACCCCTGTGAGGCTGTGAGGCGCTGAAATCATCCCCTGAGGAAAATCTGAGCTTGGAACGAACATCTTGCAGATTGCTGACCCGCCCAAGAGAAGATGGTGCTTTTAAGGGAGTGTCGATATTGACGTTCAAATTCTACACCCCTTACAGGAACCACACTCAACACCCCCCGGTCACCACCGACCTTTCGTTTCGATCCCTGTTGTTCAGATGCCGTTGGTGCCTGGTCGGCAGCGGGAGGACTCCCGGGTGTCTCCCCCCTACGACTCCCCGACGCTTCTAGTTTCAATTCTAATTAAATTCTAATTAGATCTAAATTTGTTTCTAATAGCTTCTTGTTCCTAGTAGCGATGCCCTTTGCTCCTAGTAGCTATGCCAGGAGCCGCTAGTAGCGTCCTTCCTCCTACCCAAAAAGGAGCGTTCCAGGACCTGTTCTTAGAAAGCTCAACAAATCACATCAACAAAATGTTACAAGTGCAATCTTGTATTGTTCATTATTGTTCAGTGCTTTTGAATGTCAAAGAAGTTTGCTCTTACGAACATCAAACCCGAAGATGTCCTGAAAATCCCTCGAACATGCCGATCCCTTTGGCACGACTAGTGGTCCCGCAAGCCTGGACCAAGACGCAAACCTGTTCCCAAAAGGGCTACGCACAAGTAAGGATCTGCGTATGTCAATGTGAACCTCCGTCTTCTCAACCTTTACACCCCAGGCAGAAAGACATACACGCTTTCTAACCAACGGCTTGTTGTTCTTTGAACGATCCTTTCAGGGTCCATGTCTGGAATGCAAATTGAATGAGACCTTTGCACCAGTCTTTGGTACCAAAACAGCTGCTGGAGCCGGCTGCAGGACCGGTTGCTTCCCCCGCCCCGCAGAAAAATCCAGTCTTTTCATCTTTTGTTCCAAGGTTTTGACCCAGCAATACCAAACTGGGTCATGTCGTCAACTGTCGGCCTCTTTAGGGCCGTTATCGGGTCATGACCCCAACTCTGCGCACGCGAACGCTGCTGGGGCTTCCTTTTTGGAGCCCCTCTGAACGGGACGGCCTCTCAGGGAAGGGCGCCTGAGGCCAAGGAAGGGCACTGAGCGATGTTGGGACTGTTGGATGGACGCCCTGGCATCCTGTACCACCAACTCAAAAAGCCTAGGGACAGTGAATCCAGTACTCGGGGACAAACCGGTTTCCTTGCGGTTCCTTTCGGTGCAGGATGTGCAATCAGCCAATCCTGTCAGTTTCGTTTCTTCACCGTGAGCCCTTGTTAGCTGTGAATGAGTACAGGGCAATTAGATGCAATTAGGTGGTTCGAACCAACCAAGAACGCCTGCAAAGTTACGTTGGAATGGGACGTGCCAAAATAACAATGGGAGGGCTTCCACCCTCAAATACAAATGATCACTTGGACGTTAGATCGATCGATCATGGTTTTGCTGTTCAACAATCGACAGCAAAGTCGGAGGTATACACACATCCGATTCATCAGGGTTCTTTTAGAACGGATGTAAATGCAAACCACAAAAAAAATGAAACAACGACAAAATTGTGTGACATGTTGTGCCCACAAGCTTTTGATTCACCCCCAAACCTCGGATGCAGCTCCCAAAAAGCTCGGTTCGATGAAGAAAACCGTTCCACTTCCACCACTCGGAATGAAGTCTAAAGACTGGCCGCCTCGACCGCCTTCAATTCACGCAGCCCATCTGATGGCTGACCTGCTTAGCCAGGAGACAAGCGGTTTTCGGCTTCTCGGGGTGGGAGAGCAGTGAGAGAAACGTACCCCGGGGTGGGAGAGAGAGAGAGAGAGAGAGCGCAAGCAGCTCTTGAGCTGAAAAAACAGTAAACTATGGTAAGCTGATTACCAGCTGAAGAAACCACGGAAAGACCATTAAATGTATATTAAACATCTTTCATCGTCTTTCCATATTTCCAACAGAAAGTTGCCGTGCTCTCTGTGGCTCGTTCTTCCACGCTCACAGCACGTAGAGTGTCCAGAGCGGTCGAAACTCCTTCCCGGTCTCGGTTGCAGAACGTGTTTACAACACCATCGCTGTTGCAAGCAGTTTTGAACCCAACTCGCGGACAGTCCCAGTCAATTCATTTCTTGTTTCTTTGGATTTCCAGGCAGGGTTGAGAAACCTTCAATAACCTTAAAAGATCTAAAAGCGTCTTTGCCTTCAATCTTTCGCTTCTTGTTTCGCACCATTTCGCAACCATGCCGGCTTGGGGCTGCCAAAGGAAGACTCATGAACTGAAACCAATTAAATGCTTGCTGGGTTCTCCTGTACAGCAATCCACAACTGCCCTTGTTCACCTGTAAGTTGCCCTTTATGTTCATTCCACGAGATGATTCTTCACCTTCATCGTTCGCTTCCTCAGCTACCCCACTGGGCTCGTCAAATCGTGAGGATCTTGATCCACGCCATTGAACCATTGTGTGAGCCTCACGCGTTGACGTCAGAACCATCAGTAAAACACATATACATACATAACAAATCATAACATTATAAGTCAGGGTCAAACATGTATAGGTTAAACACATGTTAAAACATCGCCGTCACATGGCACATGTCAGGCTTATCTTTGTCCATGCATATTCGCCCCGTCAAATTAGACAGAATCTTCTCAATATGTCTGCAAGAGCCATCAATATCACATTGATATATGCTTTGACCAGGTGCAATATAACATACCCTGGATATTTCTGCGATCGCCACGGTTTCATCGTGAATCAAGTCACCAGCATATGTGAGGCATCTAGCTGCTTGAATCAATTTTACACTGTTCTCCAAAGCAAAACTCCTCACATGAAACATCCCAACCTTGAAAGCTCTAAAGTTCCACGGGATAAACTGATCAACATTGATCAACCCTGGCTGGTTCCTGAAAAACCAGACATAATATGGAATAGTCACCCATGTGACAGTTCCACCTACCAAGAAAAAGCTGGACTGATTGAAATTTGTGGCAGTCCGTTTCCAAATGTTCACTTCAAACCCCAAAAAGGACTCCCGGACTCGAGGATGCATGTGCTGAGAAGTCTCCAAGCCCTGGCGCCACCAAGCCCTGGTATTCCCGCCGAGCCACGTGCGCAAAGGGTCGAACTCTTGCTCTTGCGGGTTGGGGCGCACCGGCGCGCGGACCTCAACGAGACGGTTGGTGGCCGGTGGACGGGACGTTCCAATGGGGCCGTGGGGAGAACATAGCATGGAAAGCTAGGGGATTCAAGCGGATGGGATGTGTAAACGAAAAGAAACGCACATCCCATCCCAGTTAAGATATATCGGCAAACATCACAGCTGGACTTCTGAGGATTCAAACACCCTTTCTTCCACCATGAGGGGGGGAAGTTCTGAGAGTGTTCATCCTTGTTCACTGGACTTTCAGCTCCTGAGACCTGTTCATGTGTGTCTTGTAAACTGGCCGCCTCCGAGTTCCGCCCACGCCCACGGAGGGTTCTCCATCACCAGGTGACGGAGAACGGCGAATTAAAGACGTCCGGTTTTCCACCGGCCAGGCAGATGGGGAGCATGGGCTGGCATGGGGGGGTTGAGGGAAGAGGAGTCACTGTTTGAAGCATCTGCTTGCTTCGCTATAGGGGAGGCTACAAAGTTAGATGGCCATGCTTACCCCCTTTTGATTACGGCAAAGAACAGCTTTGGTGGACCAACTCTTCTGCATAGAATGGGGGCCCCAGCAAAAACGGACACCTAAAAAACACCTGGTTGGTCGTGTGGAATGGGGCTGGTAGATTGGTTCACTGAGTCCGCAGGCACCGCCCAGTCCCAACACGGACTGGGGAACCTGAACCAACTGAGAATACCACTGTCCCCATCGAACAAGAGTACAGGGCTTCAGTCCACTTGGCCTCCCATTTTTTCGTCGCAACACCTCATGGTCCCCCAAAAATGGAGGGTCGAAGCTGACCATCCAAAGGGTCTTCGCTCCGGACTGACGCCGAAACGGAGCCGGAGTGCGCTCCCCCGGCGGCGGAGCAGACCGGAAGTACTTGTTTTGGAGTGAGGAGTGTCTTTCGAACATGAGGTAGCTCGGCTGAGATGAACAATGCAGGAGGCACCAAAGGCATCCCGGTCCCTCCCCAAAAAAGATCCCCGAGCATCCCCGAGCTCTTTCTCCATCACCCTCTTAAACACCATGGAAACAGTAGAGACCGTGGCCAGTCTGCATGCTCAAAGGAGTCGTCAAAAAGTGTAGACTCTTGATGAATCTTGATGAACAAACACCCTTCGATTGGATTCAACAACCTCTTCATCTGGGGGTTTCTACTAATCAAGAGTCTACAATATGGTGCTCAACGACGAAATTGGACATCATCCGGCCACCTGAACTGCGCTGGTCGAACCAAGCATAGCACTGGCTTGGCGGAAAAACACCCCGCTGCGGACGGCATACCTAGCCTATCAGCTGACTGCCCACATATTCGCTTTCGTCCATTCAGGAGCAAACTAGGAGAGTCTCCTAGAGAGATGAAGAGGCACTGCCAAAGGACCGCCCAAGGCCGGCCGCCCCAAAGGATGTATCCTCGAATCCTCGACCGAAGTCCAAAACGGACAGCGCCTGCTGCCTTTTGTGGCGCTCCAGCTGCTCTTGCATACACGAATGGTGACGAATGTGGTATGCAGCAAAAGACAACCATACACAGGTCTCGATTGCTGGGACACAAGCTTTACGGTGAAATGACCTCATTACTTGCGGGAGTCTTGACTTCCAGAATCCAGAGCCAAAGTACCATGCTGGTGTGAGCTTCTTTGAAGGTATTCTTCCTGTCCCTTCCTGTGCATCTTCTGAACAGCTCCTTGTTGGTGAACACATTTGTGCTCTTCTGATCTTTTCTCCTCGCGGCGCTAAGCGCCCTCCTTCGTCGCAGAAAGCTTATGGGCCATGACCCGTCATGAGTTAGTATATACTCTTCATGACTTCATGAGTTAGTAAATGTTAGTAACAGTATGTAACAGTTAGCAACTAGTAGTGGAGGCTCCACTGAGCCGAAAGGGTTCTTTCGGCCTCCCTTTTTGGGGTCCGGTCCCCCAACGGGTCCCCCGGTCCCGCCCGGTCTCTCCGCCGCCTGATAACGAACTCGCCAGAGTTGGTCACCCTGAGAAGACGAGGGCGCTGAGCTCGGCTCGGCTCCGGGCCCAGCTGGGTGGGTGGAAAAAGGAAGAGATGTACCCACCGGGCTTTGGAGTCTAGTTACTAGTTTCCTTCGTGGGGGATCTTTGGGATGAACTTCCTATTTTATCTTACTTTCATACACATCCAAATGACTTTAAATAAAGGAAGATTTGATGTAGACTCGGTGTTCTTGTACTCTCAAGAACAACGCACTTCATAGACATAAAGTGATACTCAGTTGGCTTTAAGTCTATGTCTATCAATCCACACCTACCATGGCCAAGCTAGTTTGGTGTACCGTTCGGTCGCGGCACATGCCCATCCTTCCTTTCCGGTCCACTTCCATGTGTTGAAAAGGTTTGGCTTCGGTCCCAGCCACACCAGAGTACACATGGAACTGCCATGAACTTGCTGTGAAGCGTAAGACTGGCACATACTCTGTATACTCGCACAGACCACTTTGGAAAGCAACCACTTCCAGCGGTTGCTCAGCTCCTTCGGGTTTTGGGATCCACCCGAGTTCCTTGGCTCCGACGTACACCTCCGTTCGTCTCGTTCGTCTCGTTTCGTCTCGCCCACGACCACATCATCGACTGCGGTCCGATCCACCCAGTCTTGGCACGGTCTCGGTCCCAAAAGCCCAAACTGACTCACGGGTTGATGCGGACGCAAACTGGACACGGAGATGCTGCGATGCTGGTTTTTATCCCCCACATTTTTTGATAAACACACTTCAGAGTAGTGAATCCCTGGACTGGACACAGTGCTGTGATGAAGCACATCCATCACGTGGCCTGGAACCCATGCCACATGGACCTTCAGAAAGGCAAGTGGCCTCAGATTGCCCCGTCAGTCTGTGATTTCCAATCTGGATGGGTCAAACCAAAAACCTCTCAAAGCCATGGTGATGTGATCTCCCTCGTAGAGCACTCTGTTCATTTGGGGACCTCCCTGGCATCATTCTGCGCCTGCAAGACCTCTTCATCTGCTAAGGGACGCTGATCCGGGCCTCAAACAAGTGAGCAGGTCTCTGGGCAGAGTTGAAACAAACTGAGGAGAAACAATGCAGCACCTGGGAGTCCCCTTGCTTTTGGTCAAGACTGTCAAGAAATCTGATGCAATTCATCCTTCATGCAGTGACACAACACTGAAGCAGCCTCATTGAAGAAGGCCACGCAAACATTATACAGTACCCCAACACTCCATGGGACTGGCATATATGCCTAAATTGACCCTCGGTCGATCATGTATGTAAATATGCCAGTCCCATGAAGTGGACAGTGGACGTGTCTGAGGTACAAGTCAAGCACCTCAAACTCAACGTTGTTTCGTTGTTCACAAAAAACAAAACGACCATCAAAGCCAGCTGTCCACCGTCGAATCAAGAGGTGCATCAGTACCGCGTACCATCGCTGCGTCGGGTTGAAGGTGATCAGATTCTGGCCGAGCTATATACACAGGGGCATACAAAGGAGCACTTCCTCCAGAACAAAACAAGGCGTTTGATTGGTGCTCTTGGTCAAAACGTCTTAAGACCAAACAATGATGCTTCATCTTCATCCCGATCCGATGTCCAGTCACAAACTGGCCCTGGGTCTTTTCGGTGAATGTTGTGTCCGCAACAGCGATTTCGAGCCGCATCTCTTAAGCCATCGACGGTCGCGACTTCAGACGCATGAGCACTCGATGATCCACTCGAGGGAACTGCTGAATCATGCACTAGGCATAAACCCAAACACTCCATGCGACTGGAAGAGTCACCACACTAGGGTCATAAATGGGGTAAATGGCTGCAACCACGTATTTCTAGCTTCATCTAAATATATCTAAATTCTATAATCACATGGAGGGTCTGGGAAAGTACTTTCGCGGTCAACCCAACATCACCACAATCCATCGACCCTTCCTCTTGATTGCTCTCGATACCTCTAACAAGCCACAAGCCTTTTGAAGAACCTGGCCTGAGCGATCTCCTCAACCTACCCAGAAAAAAACAAAAAACAACTTCCCCAAAACAGATTCAGTCTAAACATGTATTGGGCCCTCCGGGCCTCCAATCAGCACTCCCGCTCCCAAAAGCAAGGCACAACACAACACCGGCCGCCCTGACTCACCCTCCTCCGAGAGGCCCATCGGCTCATCCCAACGTGGAAAGGAGACGCCATCGCCCTTGGGATCAAAGGGCTTCACCGGAAAGAACCAGTCGGGCCTGGGCGCTGCTGGGCTCCTGCGGCCCGTTCCTGCCATCACCGTAAGGAGGGGGTTCCACTCGGTCGACAGAACCACCAGGTGAAGTGGATGGGGCACCAAGGAATGTGGAGGCAGGGTTGGGGAACAAATTCATGAACAAATATCTTCCCTCACTTTCCGTGAAACAATGGTGAACGGTTACAGCTTTTCCTGTTTTCTTCCTGTGTTCCACTTGCTGATCTACGGGGCGAACCATGGTGACCTCCCGCAAAAACGTTCGGACATTGCAACCTACACTGACTCGGTAAACTGCCTCTCTCCCCACAAGAAGTGCAACCGGGAAGAAGTCGACTGCTGCTAGCATAACCCTGCAATATAGTTGATGGTGATGGTTCACAAGAGCCCCTCTGCTAGATATAGTGACATAGTGATAGAACAAATGAACAAAAACTATATGGTACTGTACCTTATAAGGTTCACGAACCACACAGAACTCAGACAAAAACGGCCTCCAACATGATGCCCAACCTCTCCAAGTCATTGCTTCATGGCTTCAACGAGTTCGGTGTCCCGGCCCAAAGGAACCCAGGATCTGTTCCAGGTTGGCCATCTTGCTTCCTGGGCGAAACCACCCACCCCACGGCCCGGCCACGGCTGGATCGGACCGGGGCGGCCCCCTGCACCAGTGCAGAATCTTGAAAGCTTGCACTCAAGCTGCCAGGAAACTTCTATGTTTTGGAACCAAAATGAACCAAATGATACCACCTCTCCTTGTGGATGGGAACCGTGGCTACCAACACACAGTGTTCTTTCTAGACCCCGAGATTCTAGAGGAACCGTGGCGAAATATTCCATTGTTCCTTACCAAAAATCGATTTTGGTGTGAATCCCAGGAGGTTGAGGAGGTTGAGCGATCGAAAGCTCGCAGAATATATATGATTGTGGGCCAAACCGCTCATGAAAGGAGCGATTAGTCCACCTGTGTGTAGCTGGTTTCTATTGTTGATGATCTATATAAAAATTCTATAGAATACTGTAACGTTGTGCCAGGTCTTTGGGTGACAACTGTGCCCCTTTGCTTTCGCGTTTCAGGCCTGTAAGGTTAGATATCCTACAACTATGAGAGTGGTATTGTAGTATTCCCGAATCAAACATCCAACAAAAGGACGGCCGAAACCGTAGCGCCGCCTCGGCGGATCAATACACAGCTTGGCTGGCAGGAGTGCTCAATGATCCTGTCATCACGAACACTTTGACTTTCATACCCAGCCACAGCCAGTGACGCTGGCCTCAAGGCGTGATATCACAGCGCAATCATGCCCATCCTATCGCCTATCGCTGGCTCTACCAGCTCCGGGCGTCCTCTTTCACACCGTTTTGAAAAAACAGTCGTAATATGAACCTCTGACACCTTCTTTGATAGGAAGTTTGGCCATCTTGGGGATACCGACCAACCATAAGGGTCAGCCAAAAGTTCTCTGTCACAACATGTCATAACAACTTGCTTTTCCATCCCTCAACGGTTTGTTTAAGATCTGAGGATTCCTTCGTTCGCCATGCGACCCAGATCGTAGGGATTGCTCATGTTGGAGTAGTTGCCCTGGCAGGCGGCACACGGAAAAACCAAGGACCAGTCCCAGGGTCCTAGGGAGGTGAAACACTCTTCTGCGGCCAAGTGGAGGTGGCAAAGAGGTTGGATGGGGAGAGCCACACAGTAATCTTAAGCATGAAACACTTTCAGGACCTGTTGCCCTGCATCACGAGCTTTTGCGAAGAAGGAGTCGAGTTCTTCCTGGGCCTTATCTCAAGACATGCGCTTTTCGGTTAGAACCTACAACTTTGTCGGTTCCTGATGCTCATGGTAGAGGAAACAACAACATTTGCAGGCACCTCAGAGTGCGAGGACATCTCCTTGTTTGAAGTGTATCTCAGAAATCGACCAGCTGGTGCCAGCGTCAGACTTCTTCCATCGATCGTTTCGATTTTATCATTTCAATAGGATGGAGGGTGGAGCTTGGATTTCGATGGCTCTTCAAAAGCATAGGTTGATCTTTTCGATTTGCAAAAGAGGGCCACAGCGGCCTGGGAGGACACATACTCTTGACTTATAGGAGGAGGGGATCCAGCTCATTCATGGTGTAGTTCACATCCAGAAGCGCTCGCAACTGATTTTGATGTATGATGATTCTTGGGTCATCACGACCCTCCACAGAAACACGACCTGTCAAACACATTCAAACACCAAGCTCTCTCCCCGGCGGATCGATCGATCGGACAAATGACCGGACGCCTCGATGGCGGTCATGTTGTTGCAAGCCAAGGGCACATGGGTACACCTCGATCGTCGGCGTGGCGGTTGAAGAGGGAACCAATGCCTAGCGATGGACCTCCCAAGTCCGGAAAAGTCTCCAGAAACCATGTGAAACCCACTGCTGCACTCTTTGCTTCACAGATTGAGACTCAACTGGTGGTCTTTTGGATCAAGTGATCTGTTTCTCTGAACCGATACAATTTGGGTCTAGCGGAAACAGGACGAACATGCACAACGAAACGAGATCCACCCACACTGCCCACCCGGAATGGGATGGTCTGACTCCGGACCAACTCCGGGTCTTGACATCGGGAGGAACCCCCGAAATCTCGCCCTGGCTGGGTTAGACTGGTCTGGTCGAACCCGAAACCGAAAGCGGTCGGTGGCCGACCTTCGTCGGGTCGTTGCCGTCGGTGTGAGCGAAGGAAGCGGTCGGCGGTCGTTGCGTCATCGCCGCCATAGGGCGCAGGGGATCCGGACAGCATGGGTACCAGCAGCACGCAGAGGAAGATTGCCAAGCCTTGCCGAGGTCAGGTGCTGAAAGGGTTCCAAGAGAACCCGTGTGACCTGAGGCCACCCGTAAAGCATGAGAAGGATTGAGAAGGACTTAGATGAAGCACGTGGAGAACATCTATACACAGCAACTCAATCATCAGCACAGAATCAATGGTGGACAAATGTGGATGCAGTGTCTGCAAAAACAACATGGGAAAATCTCTAGCAACCCCCCCACAGTACAAGAACGAACCCCGAAACAGTTAGTTTGTTCTTCGTCACTCCCACTCCGCGGGTCTGTCCGCCGGATCCCGCAGTGCCATCGTTGGGATCACGCCGACCGCCACGGTAGGACCACGGGAGGGCCACAGGGTTAATGGTATGCGTCACGACATGAATCACTCGTCTGGTTTGCACAGGGTTGGGTTTCTTCCCATCTTTTCTGTAGAAACCTCCACCAGGACATTCAAGGTCATCGGTTCAAGGTCCCGAGAATAAGGTCACTTAAGGCCTCTACGTGCGTCCTCCCCTCTCCTTCACATCCTCTTGGCACCCACACCTTCGAACATCAAGAAGGCCACCATGTCGGTAATCTGCAAGTCTTCCTCCCAGGTCAAATCGCATGTTCCGTAAGTTGGGCCATTGGTCACAGTCTCACTTGATGCGACGTCCTAACCAAGAAGTCCTGCACTACCTGAGAGATTCAACGGAGGTTGTGTCGTGGAAGTGGCTCCTTCGGTCGAAACGGAGCTGGACTTCCGATGTCTCGGTGTGGCAAGAGAGAAAGCCGTCCCAGCGCAGTCCGCTGTCTTGGTGGCGAGGTTTTGGCCCAAGCAAGTGAATGTGGAGAAGGCAATCGATAGAGGCAGCAACCCAAGAAGCGAGATTGCGGCAAACATAGGTGGATTCCTCTTAGGATTCTACACATATTTTTTACTATCTATCCTTAATTGTATAATCTTGAACCATAGGAAGCAGAACTTGACAAGAGGCGAACCTGAAAGAAACCCAAGAAACCCAACAACAAAATGGATCACTGGACTCCGAACTCCCAAGTCTTTTCAGTCCGAACTCCGAACTCCCAAGTCCACCGGTCTACTCCGGTCTACTTACTCCACTCGCCGCTCTCGCCAAGTCCTCCGTCCGCTCGTCCAAAAGGCGCCTTCCAGGCATCGCTTTCAAAGCCGCAAATCTTTCCCACGCAGAGCACGAACTCCGGGAGACTCGTGGCGATGCCCACGAACTCAGCGACGAAGACGAACCGAGACGAGCTGGTCGACCGTGACTGACGTGACCGGACTGGGACTAACCGGCGGTCATGGGGTCGACCAAGGAAGAACAACGAAGGAGTGCGGACTCATAGCGCTGGCGCAAGCAGCTGACCTTCCCCCAAATCAACGAACGTGCAATGTGGGGTAGCTGCTAGGCTTGAATTTCTATTGTCTACGCATAGGAATCATGGCACAACCCTTCCTGCTGTGAAACCCCATCAGAGCCCGCCTGCAGCTGATCTTGCACCAAAAAACAAAGAGTGCCTTGTAACTAAGGATGCAACTGAGTGCAACACATGGTGCAACAAATGCAAAACACTTAACTAGGCTTTCCTCGAGCTTGCCTTTGCAGCCTCACCAATCTACTCTTCAGAGAAATTGAGCACAAAATGGACGCTTGTGAAATTGCTGCTTCTGAAATTGCTTTGTTCGTTTGTGGCCTTCATAGCATAAAAGGGCCTCACAGTTCTACATTGCAGTTTATCGGTTGCCGGAGACCCCAACATTGATGTCCACAAACTGCCCTGGAAACATGGCCTTCAATCAGTTCGTACATCCCGTCGGCTAAATACCAAACAACATGATTTTGATGACCATTGCGATCTGCAGAGCAATTGAGTGGGTCGTTGTTTCACATGAAGCTTAAGAAGCGTCATTAGGCTGGATGGTGCATGATGGGGCGCCTGAGATTGATGGATTTTCTTTTGGATCATGAGATGTCTGGCAAAGAGCGACGGACATAGACACGGCAAACATGCGTGACTCTGGATTTCCAGATCAAGGGGCAGAGGCGAAGCTGCCGTAGATCACTAGCTGAAGGAAGAACTTATAGTTGCCAAGGCCAACCTCAAACGAGTCGGCCAAGGTGAAAGACATACTTTCAGTGGTATCAGACAGAGTCCAGTGCACATAATTATTCCAGAGGTGGCCTTTATGAATCCTGGTCTAAGAATTTTGTGCCACTCAGTAATAAGACAGGCACTAGCATCAAGTGGATTGTCGTCTTGAGAACCATGCGAGGAAAAACATGGAAACACAGCTTCAACGTGACGTAAAATAAGAACAGATCAATGAATCAATCGTGTCCGAACTTGGATGCATGCCATCCAGCTTATCAATCGGAAAGAACGAGCCATCCACCCCTGTGTTGATTCAGAAAATCTTGACCGGACCACTTGGCCGAACTTCACATAAATCAGAAAGCAATTCAGAAAGCTGTGAAGACACGCAATTGCCCCGTTAGACTCTGAAACTGTTCATCAGCAAACTTGTTTCTTCGTCCTCGTTGTGTGCGGAAAAGCCAGGTGTCCCGGCACAGTTGTTGATCCAGGGGCAGTAGTGATCCATGCCTCAATGTGCCGGCAGACTCCAGGGGATTTGAAAGACATTCACCATCATTAACATTTGGTGTCCCTGGAACATGAAAAGTTCGCCGAAACTTGACAAACCCGGTCTTGTTGAGTGGGGAAACATACCCACATACATAAAAGTTAAAAAGGTCATCCTCTGACTGGGTAGGTACCAAACTCCAAACGCAGTCTTGTCTCACAGCTCTTTCAAAAGACCACAAACCAGCAGTCCTTCTTGATGGCATTCACAGGCTACTGGACTTGTTCCTCTTTCCCAGCCGCTCCAACTGGCTTTGGGAACAACTTGACTGCACCAGTTGGATGTGCTACTGCTACTTACTCTCACTCTAACTCTCTCTCTCTCTCTCTGCATCTGGTCTGTGATGGTTTTGAGTTCATGGACAAAATCCTGCACTGCTTGAGCAACCCATGAGTAAGAGATGGTGGATCAATATCAATTCAAGTGGATCGCGCAAGGAGTGTCAGCCTGTGTTTGGTCTTGGATCATCACCAACTAAGTCACCAACTATCAATTAATATGGTAGAACGCCTGTAATTTAATATATGGACCTTTAAACCCTGGTGCCCAACTATCGGGATCAAGAGGTATCCACATGGATACCAGCAGTGCCACCCATCTTTGACACGGGCATTGCAACTTCAAAAACACACATTATTTTTTCGCCACGTTCGCACGTTTGCGAATCTCCATGGGCACCCTGCACTTCTCTTCACTTGTGCTTTTTGATCCGACCAATTTTGCGAGAGTCCCGAACAAGTCACTGTGAACAGGGCTTGCAAGCGGCAGGACACTAGTGCCTGCCGTATAAGGTGGAACTGAAAGGTGCTGTAAGCAAAAAGGTCAAACGACTCCATGCGACACACTAGGCCGTTTCTATACGAGCAAACCACTGCAAACCTCAAATGGACTATATGGCATAATCACCGGCATAATCGTCATATCGGTTGGTGAGACAGAAAAAACACACATCGATTGCCTCTAAAAACTTCTTGAGCAGCCGCACGGAGCACGCAAAAGCCGCTAACATTGCAATGGTGTGCCTGGAGCAACAGGGCAGTGACCAACCGGAGAGGCAGAAAAAGTCACAGTACAATTTTTTTGGAAAGGCAATGAAAAGCAACTGCAGCGTTCCAAACACGCAGAAACAAGAGTCTTTTGCAACCAGTATGTATAATATGTAGATTGATGTAGTACAGTATAGTACATTATATACCAATGGGTCTGGGACATTGGAACGCTTTTTTCTGCGGGACGAGTGACGCGCTCAGGTCGAGGGATGCTGCATTTCCGGCAGAAGGTCGCCTTGCAGGAGGGTTGAAGCGAAGAAAACTGGACCCGACTTCCAGTACCCCAGAAAATGAGGCATGACCCTTATAGAAAAGAGGTCCGACTGGGGCCCCATTTTTCTGAGGTACTGGAAGTCGGGTCCAGGTACTGACTTCTGCTTGTGCCCGGCCGGGGGAGTGGAGGAACGCGATCAAAGGAGGCAACCATTTGAGCAATTTGTGCAGTCGGCAGTTCGTGCAGTCGACAGCCTCTGATGGCCTGACGATTCTGATGGCCTGTTCTGGGAGAAAACAGCTTCGTTCCATACTTCTGGCCCACCTGAGACTATGCTTCGAGGTCCCACACAAGATGCGAAGAGCTGCTCCGGTCCCACGCAATGCTTCGACTGTGGGTCCAGGAGACTTGGGGCAGCAAAACAAGGTGACCTCATCAAAGTGATTTCTGTTAGAAATACGGAACAACAGGTGATGAACGGGGGGGACAGCAAAGAAACACGAGCAATGGTTGCCGGAACCTTGCCATAAAGCTCCTTTTTCCAAAGAACATTGGAACCTTGAATCACTTCCAATATTGGATCAACCAGCCTGTAGCGAGACTGAGAGGTTCATATTGTTATGATGACCAAACCTAACGTTGTTCTTGATTTTCAAGCCACTGATTTCGTAGGGGCCACGTGAAGCGTCACATTGAAGTGTCACATGAAACCTTTAAATACATCTGGCCCCAAACGTTGGAACCGATAGAACGACCGTTGGAACCCATTCGAACCTCTTGGACAGTTGGAGCGATACGTGCACTCTCCATGCGATACGGAGAAGTGCCGAAGTGCCGCGCATCCACTCTCCCCGCCTTGCCCGGAGCCCAGCGCGCCGTGGAAGGCACCACTGGCAGGGCCTGGGTGTGACGTGGCTTCGCCACGTGCTGAAAAACACCACGTCTTTGGGTCTTTAGGCTGTGGTATGCATCCACTTGCCCGGTTCGCTGCCGAGCTCTGTACACCACCTTTTGTTGAGGCTAGCCAACAGAAAAAAACCATTTGCTGAGAGCGGGCAAGTTGTGGTCTGGTTCCAATTGGCACCAAATGAAACGAGATCCTCACCATGATAACACCTGAATCCCACAGTACTCAGTAATTCCAAGATGTACCTGTTGACATTGACTTGGGCTATCCGCCAGTCCGGCTTGCCGGCTTTGCCCAGCTTCTGCCATTGAAAGGAAGGGGCTATTCTTAGACACTGTGACCCGGGAGAAAAACAAACAACCGCTTTTTTTGGTTTCAATTGATTTTTCCATTTTGGGTCTCATATTGGTTTCATGTTTTTGATGTTTGGCATCTCTCAGACTCTCAAACCCAACTTCCTGACTTTCTGAGTCTGACACCGGGCCGACTTCCCGCACGAACTCATGCCAGCTGAAGGGCACCTCCGCAGAGTTCGGTTCCAAACAGACTGGATGGTTCCGACCCAAACTCGACCTGTCTGAGACGGGCCTCTTTGACAATGAGTCGGGGTGAAGGATTTCAAGCGCGTGGACTATAACTATTGTCATATTCGAGTCCCATGGAGTATGTGGGATGGATCATCCATGGCGATCTTGGTGACTTTTGCAGGATTCCTGTATTGACACCTCAAGACGAGAAGGACCAAAATGGATTATTGACATCCGAGTCCCCTTGCAACACACAGATCATCATGACCACCGGAAGCACCAACATCGACCTTGAACAGGAACATTTAGATGACACTCTTTCTCAACAAACCAGCACTTCTGGGAGGTCCAAGTGGCCATTTTTCTTTCTTGATCCATCACTTGTCCAAGTGCCCTGTCCGGTGTCCACCATTTCCTCCCACCGAGAAACCGCCCTCCGGCCATGCCGCGCGCACCGAGAAACCGCCTCTGTACCAAAACGCCACGTGCGCGGCGTCGGCGACGGCCTTGCCCGGTCCAGTGGCGAAGGAGCGGATGTAGGCCACGAGCGCCATCCCCTGCGGAAAAGCGACCAGCGACCAGCTTCCGATGATGGGAGCATCAGCCCTTCCAGGGTTCGTGTGTGCAGTTCCCTGTGCACAATGACATTCAATCATGCATGACCAAACGAAACGAAAGCTAGCTCTCACCTTTGTTGGGTGTGTATTCAACTAAATTCATGGCAAATCCACACGCAGTAGTGGCCAATTGTTGCATTTCTTCTCTGGTCCGCCAGCTTTTCCAGGTGCGATGGCATGGATACCATACTGGGCGGACCACCCAGCTTTCAATCAGCCCCTTCTTCGCAGTTGAAAGTCCCTGAATCTGAAAGAAGCCATCTCATATGTTGGTAGGGTTTGTGAGTCTAGGGTTTTAGAATAATTTTGGTTGGAGCAATTGGCTTCCAACAAATACATCCAATTCTCTCCAAGTTCCCAAATGCCTAAACAGTGGGATGCTGTGAAGGCGTGCCGCCTAACAACCCGTTAGGTCTGACATGGTCTGACCAACCCGGCAGCGGTTGACCATGAAAACATCGAGCTCTAGTTGAGCTTCTTGAGGTGCTTGGATGGTCCCTAATGAGCTGCGTACTCCAACAAAGAAGGCCCCCCCTAATATCACTGCTGTGCTGGACTTATTTGATTGCCTCCTTTTGAACGCCTTTTTGGCCAAGGTGCCCAAATGGCATTGAAGAGCAAGAAGAAGAATGGAACAAAGTCCGCCTTCCAAGATTCACTCACAGGATCTCACGCTCGAACAGTGGCGCTTGGTGGTCATTTTGGACCCCCAAGGACCCCTGTTTAGGACGACCACGCACAAAAAACTCGTTTCGCATCAATCAAAGGGTCAAGATGGGTCAAGTGAGGTTGAGGACGCTTGAGGTACGAGTATATACTAAAACCTAGACTTGACATGGCCGTCTGTGGCTAAACAGTTTAACAGTTGAACCCGATGTCCAAATCGCTCACAAGACCAGTCCTTCGGACTTGACTTTATATAACCAATTGGTGGTAACGAAGACCCTGCATCAGCACATGGATCAATATTCAGGGTCATTGAGGGTTGATCAAATCTTTCTGAGAGGATCTTCTTCATGGATCTGCCGAATGCATTTCTCCTGCACCGGCTCTTGAACGGCGTGCCGCATCGAAAGTCCCCAGCCTTGCCCACCGACGGCAAAACCCGTCCGAGGAACATCCTGGGGCGTGGCGAGGGGGGGCACAAAGTCCTGCAGTGGTATTTTAGGTGTGTATCTTGGGAATACGGAGAACCCACCTGTTCGCCCCCCTGGAAAGAAAGGGAAAAGAGACCAAAAGCCTTTGGTATATATGCTGAGGGTGGCCACATCCGGAATTGTTCACCGCGCATTTTCACTTGCAAAGACCAAAAAACCCATTGGTTGGTGGTCTCCCTATTCAATTACACACCCTTTTTGTGTTTCTGACGAACTTCAGCGGGTTGATTATGTCGAGCTGATTGGGGCCCTGAAAGCGATGATCTGATGTTCTCTTTCGCGTAGAAGGATACATGTGCCAGTCGTTTCTCTCGTTGTATTTCACAGAAAAAAACATCCAGTCCCGGCCTATCCATTCCCCAATCAACACCCGGATGACAATACACCTCGTTGAGCAAGTATGAACAAGGAAGGAAACTGCCAGGGGCAACAGAAACTGTGCAGTTCTCGTGCCTGAAACTAAATGATCAAGCAGTTGGCAAGGAACATCATCTTCCAACCCCCTTCATATTTTGTATTATGCTCGGGCACGGGGATGTTCATCAGAAGCGAGAGAACACAGGGATCAAACTCCTATTGAAGTAATCTTCATCATGAGACGCCATGCTGTGCTTAGGCCAACAAACGCGTCCGAGCATATCTTTGGTCTTCGAAGTCCGATTTTCCATCACACCGGCGTGGCGGCGTGGTCACAGCAGCGATTCGGTAATGTTGCGATCAGGTCAGCGGTGGAGTTCTGGTGCGATCGGTTCAGCCGTCACTCGCGGAAGTGAATGACCTGAATGAGCTAACCCATCCTGACCCTCTGAACCCCTTTAGTAAGACCCTGTAAGTTGGGGTTGTGGGGGTGACCCCTGGCAAACGGACGACAACCACCAATGACAGGAAGCCAAAACAAGCACCCCATGCTTGGGATGACTTCTTCCTTTCATCCCTCAGAAACCAGTCAACATGGCGAATGCTTAACACATCATAATAATTAATTACTGTGGAATACTATGGATGAGTTTTGACCTTCCAAACCAAGCCCCAAACACTTTCGAAGTGGTAAAAACAGCCACTTCTTGCCCCAGTGGCAGGTTGTAAGCCGTGCCCTCGTAGATGAAGACACCCAAGGTGACGGACATCGTCATCTGGCGGCGGCGCAAGAGAGAGGGCAGTGATGGTCGTTCGGCAAGCCGGTGAAAAATAACACTTTGGATGGGGATGGATGTCGAAAGATCCCGTCGTCCCATGTAGAGATATGAGAACCTTCGTACACGAATGAGTTTATAATAGTCTAAATGTATGTTTATGCGTTGAAGACCATTGCTTTGAGAGTCCAAACATTACCAACATGAGCCGGGGCATGAGGGACTTTTGAACACTCAAAGAAGGCTTCTTCCAGTTGGAAGCAACAAAACAGCACTTCCTGTGGAACAACCCCAAGGGACCAGGTGTTCTCTGTTTCCTTCGGTTTCCTTAGGGGATAGTGCCTCCACATCTCGAGGGGCTGTGATGTATAGTAGAGCCCTCCAAAAAACCACCAAAAATGCACTCAAACACCTTCTCACGGGAGGTACTTGGAGCCCTTCCGGCAACAATTCGTTCAGAATTCGTGACAATACCAACCGGCTGTGTCCGTTCCATGGAAAATCCCGAAGCATAGACTGGACGGTCCCAAATCCCCACTGGTCACCATCCATAGCTGGGGGCTTTGGTTGGTAATTAGCTCCAATTCGTAAGCTCAGTTCGTTGCATCCTTCGGGAGGATGAAGCAAGGATGTTTTGATGCCGTCTTTCCGAAGCTCCCAACCGTTGATCCGGTTCGCACACTGGGGTGTCAATGGTTGGAGCGAAGAATCAAGAGGCGGATGAAATGTGGACGGCTGTGGTATGCCATGGCATTGGAAGCGGACCTATATTGAGAGAACAAGGTACCAGGCTTGATTCGAAAGCTTCTTTTGTTTGGAGTTGATCTCAATTTCTGAGAAACAACCACCGTAGAGTGGTCCTGGGTGTGCGGTCCTGGTGGTCACCCCCTCCACGTCTTGCACCACGTCTGGAGTCCGGCGCCGCTGTTCTCCACAGGTCCTCGGTTGCCTGGAAGAACATGGACGAGCTCGTGGTGATGGAGCAGTCCCAGGTTTCATCTTTCGACTCCTGAAGCGATTTCACGTGGCTGGCGGCGCTGCTCACGGCGCTCTCCCACTTCCGGGTTCTATCTTTCGTCCATGGGCTCCAAGAAGGAAGACTTGGCATTCTGCCATGCTACAACAAGGACCCCCAAAAATCAGGGGGTGGTTTTCATGCACATCCAAGAGGCCATTCATGTGCACCCCGAATGGAGGCCCGGACTGTCATCTGCAGGAAGAAGAACGGTGCTGCCGGGTGCTGCATCGATTTGATCTATAGCAAATCGGTTCGAAACCGTCCGAACATCCACCCCAGCATCTATATTTACTTGCCTTTGAAATCCTTTGAACATGTCTCTCCTATCTGCCATGCCCCATGCCGCGAGAAACGCTGCTGATTCACAAAGAAATTCACAGATCCAGGACCACCTCACCAGGGACTTATAGAATCTTCTCTTGCTCGGACCTGTTCCAAGCCTGTTCCCCGATCTGCATCCCCCTGTTCCGACACACGCGCTGACCGCTACGCCCACCCAGCCGCCTCGGGTCCAGGAGCAGCTGGGCCATCGGACTGCACCAAGGGCCGCGCCTCGCTGCCGGACTCAGGACATCAGAGGTAAACAGGCATGCTATGGCATTGCTTCTTCTTGGGATTCAGATGAATAAGCTTAAGCTTAGGCTTTGGAAGCAATCAACCTAATTTGTGTGGCCCAAAGAAGCTCCAGTTGGATGATCGCAAGCCCAGTTTTGTCCAATGGATCTTGTTCATCGATCTTCACACTCTGATGGCTCGTGGGTCATCATTGCTCTTGCAAAAGCCTCCTCCTTCCCAACAAAAACCGCACTCACCTGGGTCGAAGGCTGGGTCAAAAGGACACACCCTGCTGTGGGTGAAGCTCCTTTTGGGCTGTACTTTTCTTGCGGACCACAGTGTGACCCCCAAAACAAACCACCCCAAAACAAACCACTGATCAAAACCATCAGATCCAATTCTCAGGGTCTCTGGGTTGGTCTCCGTCCCGTCGACGCCCCGTCTGCCCCGTCGACGCCTCGGCGTCTCGTGCGGTGATAGGCAAGGTCCGCAAGGCCGGATCGGTGCCTGGAACGAGACAACGCCCTACCCCTCGTGGGGGGTGTGAGTGAAATGAGACCGGGCTTGAAAGAAAAGGGAATACTGTAGACATCTGTAGACTGTATACTATAATCAATACATATTTACACATATTAAGGCTGTAACACTAAAATCTTGGGAGTGGTTTAGATTTGAGAAGCAGTGTTGGCCTTTTGAGTCTTGAACAGGGAACAAGGGGGGCTTTGGATTTGTTCTATTTTAATCATTACGAATCCCCAGCCGTTCGTCAGTTTTACAGATTTTTACTGGGATGTCTTGGCTTCACTTCGTTGATCCTTCCCGTAACCCTATCGCTTTGGCTTGGTGTCCCTTGGCTCCACCCGTGAGGACCGGTCCACCGAATTGAGCGAAGGAATCCATGGACGGATTTCCGTCCAAGGGATGTTCACCCATCAAACAGAACGATAGAATCCAAACACACACACAACCAAATATACTGACACCATCTGACATCTAGTCTCCGTGCCTGAAGTACCTGGTTCACCAGTAGAAATACCAACCATTGGAACCGAACCCTACTAGGCAAACAGTGCAACACTTTTGGTCCCTCATTGGCCGCTGGATCTCTGCTCTCAACGCGGTAAGAAAAGCTTCACCTGTACAAAGCTCGCGGAGAGCAGGAGATTGATGAGTTGGCCATCTTGCGACAGCTTTAGGCCCTTTAAGTGGGCTACTGGTGAAGCAAGCGAACGTACGAAGCAAGCGAACATGGACAGAAGTGAAATCATCTCAATCTGTTAGGACATGTTCTATTGCCTCGTCAGTAGCCAACTTCAGTAAGCCAACTCAGTTTCGACACGCCACGTATTTGGCAAAGGGATGTAAAGGGCGAACATCAAAGGCACATTGATATTACGTATATAACACGGATAAACACCACATACGCGTATACACCTGACGCACACCAAGAAAATTAGCTGGACATACCCAAATACTTTCGTAGCATGACGTGAGCATTCTGACATTTTGGCCCAGCATGGCCAACGGCCTCAGGTGTGTCTAGTTGCTAACGTTCATAGTAATGCATGCAATGTCCTAGCCGTGGTTTTATGTTCCCACACGTGGGGAACAACCTGGCACGCTGCCCAAGAATCATATCGAGGAACCCACCCAGGGGTTCGACATTATTAATTAATTGATGGAGTGGAACTAGACCAATGTTGGTGATCGCTCAGGTGGCCCCTCAAATATCACATCTCCCCTGGAGAGAACACAAAGCAATGAATTCATTCATGAATTCATATTCGCTTGTTACTTCATGTTACTTCTAGCTGCTAGTGTCAGGCTTCATGCTCTTCACCCTTCAGTTTCAAACCTTCTTCGATCTTCGCCCCGGTCTCCCGGTTGCCCCGGTCCGGACGCCGGTCATGGTCCCGGTCTCCGGGTCAAAGGTCCGAGCTCGTGTGGCTGGAGGCGTCCCCCGTGGTCGTGGAGGCATCCAGCAGCGCTGGAGGCGCGCAGCAGCGAAAGCCCAAGCAGCGACCCTTGGCTTCGGGGCACCGGCCCCGGCGGTAGCCTCGGTCGACTCGTTTCTGGAAGGTTTGGGAAAGAGCAAAACACATGTGTGGAAGAAAAGGGGAGAAACACAAGAGGATGAAGGGCCAAGAAACTTCTAAAGTATTTTAAAGGTCATCCGGTCGACCGACTGGACTGGCGCTGCAGGTGGGTCATGGCCGGGGGCGATGAAAGCAGGACTGTTCCAGTCCGGTTAGGGGTTTGGTTCTGATGGTGTTTGTGTTGCTTTTGGAGGGTTTTCAGGGGATATCCCTTCCCCCAATGAGCTAACACAATCCCACTGCTTCAAAGCGTAGTTGCCAGAACTGTCATGAATGGGATTGAAGGGCAAAGGAAGAGCCATGGCGGCTTGCAAGAGCCATCGAGTCTCAACTGTCGGAGGACATTGGACGGTACAATTCACGCCAGATTGATGACACATGATGACAATGATATCACTGATATCACTATACTATAGAAAGAACCATGTATAATTTTGGGTCAAAAAAAGGGATCTTCGTTCCAACATGAAGGTCCATGCATTCCCGGTCGACCTAAAACTGACCTCTTCGCGACTTGGGCGCGGCAACTTTCACCCCACACAGCGTCCAAGTCGCTGCTCCGTGCCATGTGCGCTCCTCCAACCCAGCTCCCGCCGCGCTCGGAGCGTCGTATGCCAGCGCCGTCGTTCCAGGCGTCGGGAAGACGCGCCTGGGGGGTACAATAGAAGTCGGGGTCGTAGGTGTCGCGGCACCACTGCCTGAGCCCAGGAAGTCTCCACGCATCAATTCCATTGACCTCAAAGTTTAAACACCTAAGTAAAGTACAGGATTGCTTCGATCGAATGCCTGCAGATTCTCTGCGGGGTCCAAGAAATACTAGAACTCCCATGAACAACGTTCCATGGCAGAGTTTAGCAAAGTCAGCTCAGGTCTCTCAGCCTCTCTTGGCCTCCAAAGGTTCTTGACTCAGAGAAACCTGGCCCCCCCAAACCGCGGGGCCGAAACCAGAACTGGAGAGTGCTGTTGCTTCGTGTCCGGAAAATTCGGGTCGACCGTGGAAGAAGTAGCCCGAAGCGTGAGTGGTACGTGTTGCAAACAACAGTGGACCGAATGATCCGAATGTAGAAACCGATGGATACGTTTTGTTCGTACAGTGCCAGAAACAACTTTTAGGTTGAGTTTCTGCACCAAAACTTGTTGTTTCAGAACTCATACCCGTCCCCAACTTCCGTGAGAGAACATGTTGCCAAGCACAAGTGTTCTTCGACGAAACCAGTGGAACCAAGTGGCCAAACGTTCCCCGCCATGCCGCGAAGACCGAAAGGATTGTGTCCCATACGGAGGTTCACCGCTTTCAGCGGCAACTCCCGCAAAGGTTTGGAGTTCAAGGCTTCATCCGCGTGCAGGGTTGCCTCCCAACAGACCTGGGGTCACGAAACAGTGATGCAGGTCCAGTTCCTGAGGAACATTCATGTTCAGCATCGCCGGTATATTCGATGGTGTTTGGATCAATCAAACTGACCTTTTCCGTCCCAGTTCCAGTTGTTACCACCCTCTCAAAAACGAATTGCGCGGGCTCTCAGTCACAGCACTTCGAGGAAACTAGATGAAACATATGTTGCTGACCAAATCCATCCAACCAAGGACTCTAAACAGCAATGGCCAACCTTTTTTTCCATGTGTTCACATTTAGTGTGGGATCCCATCCTCCAAAAAGGAGTTGCGTCAATCTGCTGATAGGGTGTGTTCTGCTGTGCTAAGTTGCCAATCAAGCCTTACTGGCACCACATGCTGCCAAAGGACGTTGAGCAGCTCGGGATCAGCTTTGTCACCCCAAGGAAAGCTGCGGGGCGTCTCGCCGCGTGCTGCGTACTCCCATTGGGCCTCGCTGGGCAAGAAGCCAGCTGTGGCTGTCCTGATGCTGTGGTGCATGAAGCTCTGGCAACTCATGGCTTACCCCCTTGTGTTGCCGTTCTCCAACCCTTCTGCTTGGGGTGGTGCTTGGATGTATTCCGAGCGGAAAACATGGTCTAACTGCAAGTCCCCAGGTTCTCCATCATCTTTCACTGAAGTTGACTGCACGTAGCCCGCCGCGTGAGCGGCTGCACGCAGGGAAAGCGAAATGACGCGAAATGGCTGCGGCCACCTGCCCATGTGTTCCCCACTTGCACCGTCCATGCACGGAAATTAACGGCTTGCGGTTGCCGCAGCTCCTCATGATAGACGAGCCACTCAGGCATGGACATTCAAGCACGCTGCATTTCTTCAGTGACCACGGTGGTTTCTCTACTACGAACGGCAAGCGCATCTGGCTCTTGAGCTGTTTGACAATTGCGACAGCTTTTATGGAAAGAAACAATGCGACTGATGCCGTTTCAACCAACCGGCCGGACAGAGTTTCGGCTTCGACCGCTTCCGACTCCACCCACCACGTCGCGGGAACGAGTTCGACGTCTTCGGATTTCATCCGAAGACGTCGTGATCTGCTGCAACTCAAATCAGTCAACCAGAGGCGGAGTCTGGCGTTCGTTTGTCAAGCATTGGGCAAGCCAGGGGCCTGTTTGTAGGGGGCTTGGAGATGGACAACTCGGGAAGAGGAGGAAGATTTGGACCCCCACAACCACTGAGCTGTAGAGGAAAATGCTTTTCCACGGGTCAATGCTCATGTTAGTCTACAGGTGGGTAGGGAGTATCTTTCTGCCTTCGACCGAGACCACGCATCGAGTTGCCGAGTTGGTACTGGTCAGTTCCAGATGCATTGCAGCGCGACATCCTTCAGAACATCCCCCCAAATCCGCTTCTGCGTCCGATAAACTGTAGAAACAAACTCGAGAACATGAAACAGGAGCCAAGATGGAGTATCGGATGGAGACAACTGTTGTTTTCACATGTCTTCGGTGTCCCTTCATTTTCCATGGTGATTCATCCATGCACCCGGTAGATGCTGATCGCATCCCTCAGAGGGGGACAGCGGGTCGGGACCCTTTCACCAGCCAAGAAAAACACATGCCACCCTGGAGGGAACCTTGCACTCTTCACGTGACAGAAAAAACTGAACAACGCTTTCGTCACGTTCCTCCAATGGCGCCACGGTGCGTTGTTCAGTTTTTAAATCCTCCACGACCTCGGTCCAAACAAGTTTTCACACGTCCCCCCAAGTTCACTCCCCATCCGGGAGCCCCAAGGCCTACGGATGACACCGCGAGGTGCCCCTGTTCGATCGAACCGAGACACTTGTAGTCATGCCAATCTTTGCCATGCGCCCAGAGGGAGTATGCATTGGCACCATACCAGGAGACCAAGATCATGGGCCTCACAACGAGGGCCTCTGACCGACAGGCGAGACCAACCGTTCGAAACCGGGAGGCACCGGGATGATGGTCATGAAGCCATTGGGTGGAATAAAACAAAAAGGTTCTTTGCAACATCTGCCAACACAAAAAGTTGGAAACAAACTACATCCATGAGCATTTGCACGTAGACTATATATATTTTTATAGTCATGATCATGTTCTGTGTTCAATGGTGTTTACCAGGGTCCTGACGCACAAGCTAATTGCTTGACCACATACGGCACCTTAGCCTTAGACTGTACTCAGGCAACCAACCATCTATTTGGGTGCTCCAAAATTGCACTTACCCGTCATTCTGAGACAAGCTGATTCGAGTCGTGTTGAGACCTGGTCGAAAAACGCTGGCTTGGCTTTACTGGATTTCTTTTGTTTAAGTTCTGGCATTGCATGACATAGTAGACTAGAGGATTGTCATGTCCCAAACACACCATGTATGTAATGGTGGTTCACCTTGAGGTGGTCGGACCCGGTAGGCCATTGAGTCCACCCCATTCGTCGTGTCTGCGTCGAAAAACACAAATAGACAGCGCAGGCAAACAAGCAGGTGGCGCAGGTCCCACCCAGACGCCATTGGCGTAGTTCTTCGATCGACTCGAGACCACCCTCCAGACTCGTGACTCAATTCGCGGTGAGGCAGAAGCGTCGCCAGGGTTTCCGGCAGCGCTTGACTTTAGGTGACTTTAGCATTGGTTCAACAGGTCACTGCAAGTGTACCGGGACCACACACATATGAATTCAGATCGCGAGTCTGGACTCGAAAGAGAACATCTTCACACAGGAATGTCCTCTTAAGAAGATGCAGTCTTTGAATCTTCATCTATAAAGAGATTCACGAAGAAAACACGTGAAAAGCATTGAACAGCTCCTCTTTAGAGGAACATTCAAAGACGTCAACCTCACCAGACCATCTCCACATCGACCAAGGTGCCAGTTCACCGGCACACCCTCCTTCACTTCCCAGCGATTGCCATACCGGGCCACTGGCACCTGGGGCGTGGAATACCGAGAAGACCAGAGACCACAATGGGTTGGGTCGTGAGACTTTTCCTGCCCCTATTCGATCTCATTTTACTGCAGTTGTTCTTTAAAACATAACACAACTCGAGGAGGTAAAGAGCAAGTTAGAGTGGGTCTTTGCACTTGTAGGGCTGACGTTTTCCCAAGATCACCCGTGAGCCGTGAGCCTATTGAATCATGTACTCCATCACGCAAACCTAGATGGAGATTCAATCTGGGCATATCTGGGCCGTCTTCAAGAGTGGACTCTTGCATACTTTTTGCTACGATGTTCCTTCCGTGGCCCAGCCAGCACTGCTCGGGTGACCCATTGTGATCCGTCGCACGTCTTCCGTCTTCGCGACCGACTCTGAGGGCCTTCGATTAGTCTCATGTCGGGGCAACGCCTGGAGCTGTGAAGCAACGGATTTGGTGGAATTGCGTCGGTCTTATTTGGTCAAGACCTGGAGCCCGGTCCCCAGAGGAAAGTCATCTCCAGAACAAGGTGGCACCGCGGAACCACGTCCCAAAAGCACCCGCCGAACACCAAGCTGGCCACATGGCACCGCGGGGCTGGACCTTCGCAAAAAGCGTCTTCCCAACACATGCCCAGGCGCGTGGAGGTTCCTCCGATCGGAGAGTGGCAAGAGGCACCAGTCCAGTAGCTGAGCTTCAGTGGGTGGTGGAGAAGCCAGGTTCAAGAAGCGCACCTGCACGACGGCGCGAGGAGTGGCGTGGCGTGCGGGGACCCAGTGCTTTCGTTCCCGACACCGGCCGAACACTGGTCGTCCTGGCACAAATGGAGAGTCCAAGCACTCCTGAAGTAAGATTGGAGCTCAAGCACCAAGGAGTTTTTTTTTTTCTCTGGAGCCTCAGTGAAACTTCCATGACTTCTCACCTTTGGACTAAGCAAGTTGCTGCTTTGGTGTGCTTGTCCACTAAGCGGCTAATAGTTTGTAATATACTAATTAAAAGTAAGACTAAGTTAGATGCTCCTTTGACACTCTCCCAATCAAGCAGGACTGACTAGTATGGAAGAGTCTGCCCATTACGGATGGTAAGCAACCACATCTACCGTGAGTTCAAAGGAATCTCAGAACACCAAGGCCTAAACTCCCCGCACGGGGTCGGTTTCTGTTCAATGGTCACTCCCTCTGATGGAGAGACCTTGTTGGGGATGTCGTGACAACAGTACTTTGTTGGTGGCAGGTGCTTGCATAGGTGAACGCACTCACCAACAGCGAACCCCAGACCTGATTCGCTTCTTCGTGACTGCGGGAGACCTCCTTCGTTCGCTCCACCCTCCTGAAGATGCCTCTCGCAAGCAAACATCAAGTGATTTTGCTTCTGAATCATGTAATGCTCAAACCTGTAGTTCCAAAAACCAACTCAACCACTTAGTTCAGTTACCCACACCAGCCATCTGACCCAAGTACCCCACAGATGGCGCTCCAAAAAGAGTCGAGTTTCGACTTCCCCATCCCAGATCCCCCCCCCGCCCCCACGGGAGCGCACGTAAGCTCCAACGCTCACGGGTTCGATATCCATCAAGAAACTCTTGAGCCTCACCTCAGGGCTGGGTCCAGCTGCATGGTGCTGGGGCTTGTTGCAGGGACGGGGCCCTCTTCTTGAAGACCTCTGTGGAGAAAGATGGGAACCACCAAGCCCCTTCCAAAATGGATTGACAGGAAACTCTTTCAACTTGTATCATCTTATATCACTAGACCCCAGAACCCTCCCCCCCGAAAAAATTAACTTAGGAACTTCTCTGACGCTTTGACATGCCAGTTCACCAGACTTCGTGTGTTTCACCACCACCCACGGCCGAAATAGGATGAAATAGGCTGCTCCGGATCTCCACGACCCACGATCCGCCGGGGAGTTCAGAAAATGGTCTCGGAACGTGACACGAACGCGTAGTAGCGCTTTGATCGAGGTGTAGGACGGAGAGGATACCTTTCAAGAATGCAAGCGCCTCCACGACATGCGTGGCACCAATGTATGCGTCTGGCTACTCAACGAAGCTTTAGGGGATGGGTGCCCTCTCATTCTTAGACATCACGTTGGATCAAACAAGTACACATCCATCAGCCTCCAAAGTCTTCTAGAAGTTTCAGCCAACCTGCCCATTACTTAGACAAGCTGAGGGCTAGGGTCTCACTTGCGCACGCAAAAATCAACTCACTTGCGCACGCGTGACTCACTTGCGCACACCGACATGTTGCTGCATTGGAATGGCATCTTCCCCCTCTAAATTTTACCCTTGGGTGGCCTCGGGCGGCTCACAAAGGCATGCACCGTTGGAATGGCACCTTCCTCCTCCAAATTCTACCCGGGTGACTCACAAGGGTATGCACCGTTGGAATTGCACCTCCCTCCTCTAAATTTTACCCTCGGGTGGCTCACAAAAGGTATGCACCGTTGGACTGGCACCTTCCTCCTCTAAATTCTACACTCGCGTGGCGTCGCGTGGCTCACAAAAGGTGTGCAGCATTGGAATTATACCTTCCTTCTCTAAAAATTTTATCCTCGTATGGCTCACAAGAGGTATGCAGCGTTGGAATGCCATTCCAGCGGCGCATACCTTTTGTATCCTTTTGTGAACCACCCGCAGGTTCAATTTAGAGGAGGAAGTTCACAAAAGGTATGAGCCCCCGGGTGGTTCACAAAAGGTATGCGCCGCTGGAATGGCATTCCAACGCTGCATATACCTCTTGTGAGCCATACGAGGGGTACAATTTTTAGAGAAGAAAGGTGTAATTCCAACGCTGCATACCTTTTTGTGAGCCATGCCTTCTGCTCAAATCGTGTAACGTTCTGGAAAAAAACGTGACTGCGAACCGAATCGCAGAGCCAAACTGGCCTCCTGCGACATGTGCGAGAGCGTGTCCAAAAGTGGCCAGTTGCAGGCGTGTGAAAGGTTTCACGGCGGTAACGACAGCTTACCGGCTTACGAGGGAATGCATCCGTCTATGCCAGATTTGTGCAGAATGCCCAGTGAGGATTGTGTAGCTCTCCTGGTCAACCTACAAGCACAAAGCCACTGCGTCCACGTTGGAGAGCATAGACAGAACATGGCCTCCCCCCAAGCGACGCACTGTCAAAACAAAAGAGCCAGCCAAGCGCCACACAGATTCAATACAACTTTTCCTACATTTAGCTGAGGTCGGAAGCCTAGGGCATGTAACACAACCACATGTCCGTCCCATCCAAGCTGTGGCTGGCCAAAACCAAATCAGCGTCTGTCTCAACTGCAGGCAAGTTCTGCACCAAACAATCAAAGTCTGCCTTGACCCAGGTCACTGTCTTACGATCCCTTCTTTTCGATACCTCAAAATCAATGAATTTGTGCACGGTCACGGTTCTTTCTTCTGGCAAACGCAAGCCAAATTTTTCCCTCAGGTGATTCATCGCAGCTGCATTTTTGAACGGATGGTGGGATTTGACATACTCATCTACAAAGGCACCCTGCTGAGGTGTGAGCCCATCCCTGTCCCCGCACACTCCATCCCATTCACCATGAGCAGTCATCGTGGTGGCTCTCACAAGCATCTCCTTGTTCTTGTAAAGCACAGCGCCCGGCCCTTGCATCTCGTTCGTTCTTATTGAAAGAGAGCTGGCAGTACCTGCTCGGTGCACTTACGCTGTTCATGGCCCATGTCCATGTACGAACACGCTCCAGGGGCTGCTGCCTGGTCATCTCTTCGTCAAACTTTTCCTGCGTTCGCACATCCAGGGTCTTGTTGTCTGCGGGTTTGTTGAGGACACCCTTGGCGGCGCTGGGTCTTTTCATGGCTGCTCGTCGCACCATGTCTAAGATAGTTGTTTGCTGTAATAACTTTAGAGCTTGGAGAAATCCATGCGCCTGCATGGTTTGGGCTTTTTCCTTGCGGGAGCGTGTTCCTTCGTGCGGGTGATGTAGAGGCTTGCTGAGTTACGTGCGTGTGATGCGTCGAGGGTTGCTCAGTGACGTCCATTTGATGTCAAGGCGTGCTGAGTGACGTGCATCTGCTGTCTTAGAGCCAGGAACCGCACTCAATGTCCCATTGTTCTCTGCCAACGGAGGAGCGAGCCGCTTCCTGCAAACGCACCTCCTGCATTTACATTCTACATTAACAATAGGCGATGCGTACCACAGAGAGAAATGTAGGACGAAAGGAGCCCATGGCATACTGCGGGTAATCTTCAAGTTCAAGGTTGCAGGCGTGAAGGTTGTTCGCCCTGGTTCTTCTTTCAGTTTACAGGGCAACTAGACATACACATTTGCGAACCGTGTTGGACCCTCTGTCTACTATGTGTATGTCAAAAAAATATGCTTTAAACATTGAACATATTACAAAGTTTACATAAGTTTACCAAAAATGCATGCGCGCAAATCCCCTAAGCCTACCTTGCCGGGGAGGGCCCTTGCAAAGGGTGCTTGTGCCGTCACCTCTGCGGTAGCCCAAAAAACAGGACCACTTGGCTGCTTGTTTTCTTTTGTCGACACACCAGTCAACAAAAACGCAGGAAGCTAAGCTTGTAAACTTGCGCACGTTCGCAAATCCGGGGTCTTGTTGCCTGCAGTTTTTTTGAGGACACCCTAGGCAGCGCTAGGCTTTGTCGTGGCTGCCTGTCGCACCATGTACAAGATAGAGGTTGTTGTGGCTGCCTGTCGCCTGCATGGTTTAAGCTTTTCCCCGGAGAGCGTCTCCCCACACGCATGTGAAATAGAGGCAAGTTCTGGGAGCTAGTTCCGGAGCAGGTTCCGGGGAAGGTTCTGAAGCAATGTCCGGAGCAAGTGCTGGAGCAGGTTCCTGAGCAGGTTGCTTAGCAGGTTTCGGGAAAGGGTTCCGGAGGTGGTTCTGGAGCCAGTTCCAGAGCAGGTTCCGGAGCAGATTCCGCGGCAAGTTCTGGCACAACTTCGAGGAAGTTGGTCAGGCTGTTTTGCTGAACTATTGTCACGCTGGCATTTAAGAGTGTGTGTGCAGGCGCACACTCCTCGAGAGGCTTCTCATCCTTCCAACTTGCGCGTGTATAAGATAGGTGTTTTCCGCATGCAGAAGCGAGTGCCATGCCTAAATTCGTCATCACTGCTCTTGACGGTTGCTCATACAGAATTCCATGTTGTTTCAGGATTTCCACAAGTGAAACACACATTGCACCACAAGTCGTTATCCCAAGTCACGCCTGCAAAAGCCACAGAAAAGAATCTACCTTTGCTCAAGTCCATCCAGTTTGGCACCCAAATCTACAGTATCCGTCCAGCTAGTCCAAGTCGCAGGATGTGTTGGCTGTTCATTGCACCGTGCGGCTTCTGCAGTGCCGCCACCGATGTGAACATCTGCGCTTGGGATCAGGATGCCTCACACAGGGTGCATGACGCGGTATTCTTGTCTTGTGGAGCACATGTACCCAACAAAAAGGACATACCAAAATGATAGGGTTGAATGATGTTTGAATGTCTGTTTCAGGCCAGTGATGTAGCATGTGACAGTCTCGCGTTTTCTCTTCAGATGAGGACAAACTAGCATGGCCGAAAAGCAACGCATCCTTTCTATACCAGCTGATGAAAGGGTTGTCAATCATTCCATATGGTATGGCAATGGCCAGCAAAAAATGGCACTGTCTAGCATGGCCACAGCCAAAACGATTGACTCCCACAGCTGGCACAAACCCAGCAGCACGATTTTATACCAGAGTGGAATGCCTGGGTCAGATCAGCTTAGACCTATGCTAGGTGGTCAAGCCCTGAGCCTGCCATTCGGAGCTACTTTACTGTTCTAAGAGGCTCTAAGTTCTTATTCTCATCATCTTGGGCCACCCCCCTTTTCACTAAACTTTTTGCACATGTTGACACCAACTGGATGATGAGCTAGCAAGTACTGAGGTAACTCCCTGTGGCTTGGAACGCCTCCCTGTTAAATGAAATATGGAGACCCCCCAACTCCTTGCTCCCTCCGAACAACCGACTGTAGCGCCAGTGAGTCATCCAAATCGAAAAGGGTGAAGTCCTTCGACAAGCATTTTAAAAGGGGTTTACACATGTTTCAAGCTCCTAAGAAAAATGGTCTTCCCCACCAATCGATGCACCAAACAACACGAAGGCTGTTCAGAAAGAATCGTGTCTTACTTGGACACCTGGGCACAGGCGAGCACCATCCCTTGTTCGGGAAATTAAACATCACATACTGCATACTAAACCGATCCACAAAAACTACATTAAAGTGAGAACCATCCCCATCCCCCAAGCTCATTCGGGATCCACCGTGCTGCATTCCATGCCGTCGCTTTGCCGAACGAAGCGCTCTTCTATCCTGGACCGGCTGGGGTGACGAGGCATTGGTGTTTCTCTCCGCGGGTATTGGTGGGGGCATTGGTACAGGCAACTGAGGGCTGGTTAAGCTATCAATGGGGGTTTGTGTCACTTCTAGCCTACCACCCTAGGTCACCCGGTCACCCGAAAGGATGTGCCACATCTACACAAGCCACATCAAGCCACCCGATGTGGGATGTGGGACCTCATTCAGGGCGCATGAGAAAGAAAGATCTTTCCACCTCAGGTCGTTGGACCTTCCTGTCATGCAACAACATGATTTCTTAGGCCATCACGGTCTCCGTACTCCGAGTCTCAAGGTCTCCGAGTAGAGAGCATCCGACCAGCTTTTCGCTTTCAGCTCAGTCAGCTGTGTGAACGGCTGCAGTTCGGGCTTGAGCTCCGGTTCCAGCGTCGCGACCGGCTCCGCCCACGGTGCTGGCTTCATCGGTGGAACCTTGATGCACGGCGCCCGGCCGGCAGGGTGATCGAAACGCGGAACCGTGGTGGGATCCGACCACTACAGGTCTGTTGTGGCAGAAGTGACACTTATTGGAAGTCTACTTTGTATTGATAGACTGGACATAACCACCGGTTTTAAGGGGCTTCTCACGTGGAAGCCAACGGCTTCTCAGTGTATCGTCCTCATTCCACTCTTGGCCGTTTATGGTGTTATTCCTTTTGCCCAGCTACTCACGTGCGTCTCAAGTGCTTTATGGAAGAGGTGCCGAAAAAACCACTTCCATGTGATGTGTTTGCAGGGCAATCCGCTTTGGTCTTTTCGCTTAGTTTCTATCTTCTGCTGCATGATTCACTGAAGAGTAGCTACGGGTGTGACTGACTCCACCGACTGGTCGAAGCGAAGCCTGGATGGATGGATCATGAGTCTTTTCCATCCACGAACCTCGAAATGAACACACATGGGTGAGTTGTAGGTCACCATTGCTTCTAAACGTCTACGTGTCTTTTTTCTCCAAGAGAAGCATTGTGCGGCAGCCTAGTCTACCTATAGTCTACCTATAGTCTAGAGTCTAGATGGTTCTTGGATGTGTTTACCAATTTCTTTCGCCATGCTCGATGGGAGGACTTCCCTCTGCTTCGGGACATGAGACCCCGAAACGCGGCCCTTCTGGGGGTATCGAATCGGTCAGAGGGGTTCGATACACGGTCACTGGGCCCAGCCATAGTGAATCCAAGTCAGTCATTACATCTGACATGATCGAACCAGACTCCACAACACACATCTAGAATGATGCCACTGTAGATACAACGAGTGAAAAGTCTAAAAGCGTATTGAAACCATATTTTTTCAATTTGCGGACGACTATTCTGAAGAAAATGCCTCACACAGAAAGGAACAACACGAACGCTTGCTGGAATCATCCTGCATTCCCTGCATGAGGGTTGAGGTTGATTCATCTTTTCCATCCCACATGGGAACAAGTGGTGCGGCTAGTTGTGGTGCAAATTCACCCAACGCTTTGAGCTCGTTGATGGTGTTTCATTTTTCGACCTTGCTCACATCAAGACTCAAGACCTGCATCAAGACCTGGCTTTTCCCTTGGCAGCAGAAACAAAAGCTTCAAAAAGCTCCCGCACTGCAAGCACCTGCAAGCAAAAGGAAGGTACATCCTGAACTTGTCGTCTGAGTCCTTGGACATCCTTGGAACATGTTTTCATCGGCTTTCCAAGCGCAAAAACCACTGGTCGACTCAGTGGACAGTGGCTGGTCACCCTGGTCACAGGCGTCTTCCCATCGCCCTTGAACCCTGGGACGTCGGATTTCTGCAAACGCTCCAGCTGGTCATCTCCCTCATAGAGTGCTCGTGCCAGGCATTCCATGGTGGGATAGTCGAACAAGAGCGAGTAGTTGTTCCGCAAGTTCGGGAACTGTTCGACCATACCCATGCGCACCTGGCAAGGGATCAGGGCTGCACAGGGCTGTGATCAGATCGAGGGACTTGGTACTTTTGGTTCCCTTTAAACAAAAGACCAGATTTGAACGACCAACCAAACCCAAAGCAATTCTACCAACAAGGTATTTGGATATCTCAGGTGGTTTGGCTTGATGCCCTAATCAAGTTTATTGACTTGAAGTCGACAACGCTGCACAAACAAGTGATTTACAAGGAGTCCATGTTGATGAGCCCCATGTACTCAAATTTGTTTGCTGCTACGGCCAGCGGACTCTGAGCAATCCTTCAATCCTTCTTTATCTAGTCGCCTTGAAACAGAAAACATCTAGTTCTCGTCTTTTAAATCGCAAAACGATCTAATATTTGCACACCACAACACAAGTCAAAGCACTTATGTAATACGTGATATACTTCTTTGGCACAAACAAGTCGCCTGTCCGTTGAAAGTATACACATAATATATACATATATATAATTGATATACAATAGTTAAATCATCGGATTGATTTAACTCTTTTTCCTTAAACAATGGATCTCCGGAAGAGGGTCTATATAGATAAACGTATAATCATGTATATATATAGTATATATATATATGCTGTACATTGCTGTACTATTCTAGAACTTAGCACTGCGTTTCACCTTTTTGCTTTTGTCCAACGGTGCCGGCCGAAAACACCTCTGCCGTCCGACTCGTTCCCGGCCGCCACGGTGCTCAGCGAGTCCAGACATGACATCACGTGCTCGTGCGGCTGCAGCGTCAACGAGGGATCGCGCGGATCGTAGTCCTCACCGTGGGGATCCGCGTCGCGGGCGCGTCGCGCTCTGAGGGAACGGGAGGAGTTCTTGGTTGAGCAAGTGGAAGAGTTGAGCATGGAGAAAGAGCGGCCGCAGGGTCTATCCGGCGGAATCTCTGAATTTGCAGATATTGAACATTGGTCGGAACCATCCCAAAAGGGTCGGGGCGTTGTCATGAACCGTCAACAGGACTCAAAATAACAGTCCACAATGGGAGTCCACAAGCACCCTCACGCCATTGGCAGGTTGGTGAAAATCCAGGCAACCTGGCGATACCTGGCGTTCATATGCGTTCATGGAAAGGATTCTCTGTGCTTGTCCGTGGCTGAAGCAAAAAGGCATGGAGATTTGAAGGGACTTCTTTCCCAGAGAAGGAAGAAAGAAACCGACTTTGAAAGGAACAATAAATTGAAGAAGACAAGGAAAGGACAAGGAGCACGCGATGAACCATTGAGCGTTTCTGAAAACCTTGATGAAATCCCGTTACGCACAACTTGGATATGACAACACACTGAGTAAACATGAACACGGAGGTTTATCGAATGGCTCCATTGTTATTTTGGGCTTTGGATCGATAGAGCTGCAGGAGATTTGGGGCTTTGGATTGATGATGACTGATGGAGAACACGCGCCCGATGGCCATCTGCGAGAAAAGCACGACGCATCCGAAAGCGAAACACCCAAGCCAAAACCACAAAACACCCACTGGGTCACAGTGCCATGGTTACTGTGGCAGATTTGCTGCTTGGTTTCATGTACAGTATACATATATAATTATATATATACACACCATACCGTATTTTGATGTATTTTGCACTAACCATATCTATCACACCCTATCTTACGCATGATTTCTCCAACCTCCCCCGTGGGCTGAACGGAACCCCGACCGCACGAGTGAGCTCGGACGCCTCCATCGTCCCCCGAACGTCCCGCCGCGGAGAACTGGTCAACGCCTGCCTCCGTGAGCTCGAGCTTCGTGTAGCCTCTGGTGAGGTGAAGCGATTCCGGAATTGGTTCGCACATGTTCGCACATGTTTGCATCCCGACCCCCCCTATCTTCCGGCCATTTTTGGGGGGTCCCAGAATGACCCAATGCGAGGTTCGAAGTGGTATGAGATGATAGGGAATGGCATGGCATGGATTGCAAGCAATCGATTTCTTCAGGAGTCCTTTCTCAGAAGGGGATCCTCCAGTGAGCCACCACATGTCGAACCTGAGAGAGTGGCAGTGGCAGTCGAGTTAATTCCATGTGCAGCCTTCTTATGATTTTCAATCAACCGTTGATTTAATGGGTTGAATCCCGAAACCATTGTTTTACTATTACCAAGGACTTTTAGACTACAACACCAGGTCAACTTTTATTTGAAAGGTCTTGGCTAAGGTTATGTTAAATTCTTCTCCAATTACCCACTACTTCAAAGCCCAACGTTAACGTCTTGGATGGTGTGGCACAAAAGTTTGTGCATCTTCCCGACCACACTCTCCTTAAACCTCCACAAAGCCATGGACAACTGCCAGCACCCTCCAACGCAATCACCAAGTCAGACCTGTTTCAGCAACATCGAACAACCCTCTAGACTCTAGATGAGGCCTCTTGGAGGGTGCCTACATGGTCCTACCACGTCCTACGACGTCGGAGACCGGTCCCGACGCCGACTCCGCCGAGCGGACCGGCCCTTTGGGGTCTCTCCGAGCGGCTCAGGTAGCGGTTGATCGCAAAGGAGACACGCTTTAGGATCTCCTCACGAGGTACGTGGTCACTGGTGAAGAGTCTTCTCAGAAGAAAGATGAAGAAAGGCGAAGGGCCGTCCACTGGGATCACCGAAATCCGTCCACTGCGATCCCGGGGGGGCCGTAGGGGTGCCTATTCTCCACGAACCTTGGGGTCTGAACACATCAACCACCGAAGGCATCCGACTCAGATGGACGGAGACCGGCGTCTTCTTGAAACGCGCTCTTTCGGTGTTGAGTCCCACGGTCACAGAGATGCAGTTAATAAGGCGTGGCATCGATCGTGTTCCAGGGCAAAGGCATTGAGGGCCTTCATATTGCCTTCCCACCGCATCTTAGGGCCCCTTTCAGCTGCTGAGAGGGTCGGCCTGTTACTGGTGTCAGTCCTGTCTATCATATCTGCTTGGTGGCTTTCAGCTTACCTGAAAACTTGAGAGAGGAGGGGGTGAACGAAAGGTAGCAGGCAATCACAAGTAACCCTGGTAGACGTCCTTGACGGCGTGAACCGGCACAGGGTGGATTTGATCCAGGCCCCCCCCACGACGAACAGAATCATCTCTTACAGGACCAAACTCAATGCACAATCCCAACTCCAGATTGTAATATATTTTTGCCAAAGCAGGGAGAACTCAGGTAGCTCAAGCTACCTTTCGTGAAGACCAATTGAAACTTGAAACATCTTGAAACCACCAAGTTGATCACCCTTGTCTGCAATCACACAAACATTGGAAAGCGCTGACGCTTGCTTCAACCAAAAAGCCACACATGCAGAACGAACAAAACATCTTGACCATCACCATGCACAAACCATGCACCCACAGATTCTCGGCCTCGACCAGTCCTGGTAGATCCTCATCCAAAACTCGTAGTCGTATGAGTGACAGTCAAAAATTGTTGCGGAGTTGTCATCAGGATTTGGTGAGTGTATTGTGGTTTCTCATGACATCATGTCCGTCATGTTATTCTTTTTGGTGGGTGTGTTACAGTTTTTGAGCGAAACATGCATATTGAACCCCCATGACCACTCAGAGACCATTTAGTCACGTTCACTCATTTTGAGCCTAGCTCATATGGCTGTAAGTGGTTCAACACCAGGATATCTTGGTTGACCTACCTGCCAGGTCAATCTACATGGTGGACTGGTCGGCCTGCAGCTTTGGATGCATTCCCCATTTCCTCGGAGCTTCGTGCATGGCTGGTTCATCACCGCTCCTTGTAACTCATGCGCCCTTCCGTGGTCGACATCGCGGCTGCACCGAGGGACTTCGACATCCAGCCAGCTGCGGAGGTGTCAATTTCTGCGCAGGGTGAACGGAAAGGTCTGGGCAATCCGTGAAGGAAGGACCGGACCCAAACCATCCATGTATGGAAGATATGGCTTCATTGACGCCGGAAACTACCCCCAATGTAAGTAAGGTTGGCCATACCTGCATGGTCTGGGAGAAGTTCCAGGAGGTGCTTTTTGAGTGCCATGGGGTGCCCCTGTCACATCTAAAGAAACGTAACATCCATTCTCATTCTGCGAATCAATCACCCCCAAGGCCCAGTGCGCGCACGCGGCACACGCTGCGCACGCCCGTCGCCCGTCGCACTTTTCACTTCCAGCGGTTGATTCCCAACCAGGAATGGCTCAGCTGCTAGGGAAAGCAAGTGATACGAGTATCAACCCCCAGGGACTTGTCAGGCAGCCACTACCATCCACAAGCGCCGCTTCAAATGAAACCGAAAGAATCCTTTTCATGACCGATCTCAATAGGGCTATGCGGCTAGACGTGGCTTCCCAAGAGGCAGGCCAAGGATTTGTCCGACCTACACCTTCCTGAAAGGATCTGAAAACCCCAGCGCAATGGCAACGAGACGACTGAAATGGCAGTGGGTCAAAACCTGGGCACCCTAATTGACCACCGAAAATGAACAGATTCCTCCATAGGGGATGTCAACCTTCGGTTTGGAAGAGGTTTTGACACAAAGCAAAGGTTATGAGATGTGGAGCCACGGCAGCTCAGTGCCGCCGAAAGTTGTGGCGATAAACGCCGGAAAGACATAATATGGTTCTCGGTCATTCAAAGCACTACGCACACGCGAGCAATACCACAAGTCTCCCAGCATCCATGCTTTCCAAAGAAACAACTCAACACATATTCATGGCAAAATCGTGGCGCCTTCTGACAGATGTTTTTGACCGAAACCATCCGAAACCATAGGCAGCGTACATTCACAAGCTCTGTTGTGATGGCACGCTGCGAGAACTACAGTGAAACATCACAAGACTCATAAACACGCACCCCGGGCGTCTGTGTTCAACAAAGCCACTGGGATTTCTGGATACATTCTCTCGAAGGCTGGACTCAATGACTCAATGCCTTGTTGACCTTAGAATGGCTTACCTATGGCCTCAACAAAACATTTGATGCCACACCAACTCAGCATAGAGACAAATACAGGATTAAAGCTACCGTCTTAAAAACTGACATAGAAACTGGATGAAACTGGTAGACTACCTTGATAAAGGAACATCATCTTCCACCTCTTACTGGCAGGCATACAAACAGCAGCTTTAGGCTTTATTCGGTTCTTTCTAAGCAAATACTCCCAGCCGCAAGGGTAACATCCTGATGTTGTAATCCTACCATTTCTGTGACCCAACCATTCCAGCCACCCATCACACCTTAAAACACCTGTAGATTCGGTCACCGAACCAGCCACCAAAAAACACCTCATCTTCTCTCCGATGCTGAAGCTCACCTTGACCTCATTTCTGACCAACTCTATCCCTCCAGAACCAAACCCTCCAGAAAAAAATAGAAACAAGGACAACTGGTCTCGCACATGGCGGTTTCTCCCGTGCCTCCTGTGCCTCCCAACAAACCTCGTGTTTCCACCCGCGCGGAGGTCTGGACCCAGCGACCCAACTGCTCCAACTGGTCTGGACCCGCGCTGGTCGAGCACTCCTCGCGGTCGACTCATCAAAGTGTGCACGCCGCCGTCGCACCTCCGCAAGGAAGACATCGCTTCCTTCCTGCACCGACGGGACATGGGGGGGGCGGAGAGTCTGGAGAGGAGGGGTGCAGGTAAAAACAAAGAAACAAAGAAGCTTCAACTTGTTGAAGATACACTTTTCGCTAGGGTGGAACCCAGGATAACCCTGGAGTTGAAACAACAAACCAAAGGCGCTTGGAAAGTACCAGCAGCAAACCACAGGGTGGTTCTGGTATGGGCAGTTGGTTAGTGCTGAAACGTGTTGAATGCAATCCACGCCATGTCACCCCCCCTCCGCCATGCCACACCTCACTGCACTATGCCACTCTGCCACTCGTGCTGCACGCCCCCAAAAGGCCCATGGACCATCAGTCCTGGTACTTGTCTGATTTCTGGCTTCGCATGTGGAGTGCTCCCCCGGTCCATGAGGACAAAAGCCAACTCCCTGTGCTGTCACTGTCACTGTCGCCCTCTGACGGCTCCGGGAACAACTCCGCATCAAAGGATGGCTGGGGATCCTCAAGCTCCTCACGCGCCCAGTGGCTCCGTTTCGGTGGGGCTTCGTATGGTCGGAGAGGGAGGACATGGATCCATATTTGGAAGGGGTCCTGCCTCGAGAAGCGGGCTTTTTGTTTTTGTTCCATCTGAAGCTTTCCTCCAAGCCAAACTTCAATCTTCATGAAAGGCAACCCAAGACTTCAATCTGATTGCATGAGCCGCCCTCCCAAAATGCCATAAGGAACAGTCAGACTGAGTCATCGAGGTTTTCACCCCGGCATTTCGATCCTCAAGCCAATGAATCTCCGGCTTGCACGCGTTGATCCCGCTGATGTCGCATGTGGAAACAGAGCTGCGCGAGATGCCGCCTTTCAGGCGTCATGAGGTTTTATCTTCATTGGGGACACCAAGAGAATCCAAGAGACCAAGAGGTCTTTCAAACCCGGATCTTCCAACCGTGCAACATCTCTGATGAACTTGGCTGGTAGAAGTGGATGAAAAGGCATAACATTCTGCAGAAGGCAAGGAACATCTAGGAATAGCAACGCCCATCTGCACTTTCGAAACTTTCACTGTCATATACTTTCATGTACCCTTCATGCTTCGACGTTCAGATTCCATCAAAACAATGTTGACGTTTGCACCATGAATCAATGAAGGGAATCATTGATCCCAGAAGTTTAACAAAGCCACTATGGATCTTACTACCCGAGGATCAAAGATCCAATACCCTGGATGTAAACTTTGACTATGGATCTTACAGTACTGTGTATCCTATTTCCAGTTAGAAGAATAGGAAGAAAAGACACCTGGAGTGAGGACTGAGAGAAACCCCAGCCCTCCGGCCACTCTGTGAACTCTCCAGGGCTGAACCGGGGGAAATCTGTAAACGATGGAAACTGATTTTCTTTACGTTTAAGTATATTGTTCTTTGTAATTAGGCCTCGAGACCGAGACCCTGAATTCTTTTATTCTTGTTATTCTCTCCGTTCTGTTTAAACACTAGTCCGCTGGTCCGACCCTGAAGAGATTCCACTCCGAAACCTGCGGAGTCGAAACCCGCGGCATCGCCGATTAGCCAAAACATCGCAACATCCTTCGATGGAGTTCGCAACATCCTTCGGCCGAGGTCCAGCTGCCTGGGTGTTTGCTCACCGTTCTCCCCAGGAGCGGATCTTCGGGCTTGCGGGGAGACCGCAAGTCACCCAGGCGACTGACATCAAATGCTAACGCCATGAACCGCCGTGGAGAAAGAACAAGTGAGGATGAAAACTAAACTTGAACCACATGGCAAGGCGAGACAAAAGGTACAGCGGTATACTTGCCCTTTGCAACATGTGCACATTTACTCCCGTACAAAATCCTACAGTGGATGCGTGGAGAAGTTTGTTTGCGCACCACCAAAGGGGACATGTCTTCAATCCTTTTTACCACACAAACACGCCTTCTACATCAGAATTTCACCCAGTCCCATTTCGGACAGGCTCTTTCACGTGTGCCACCCACTGCCCAGCACTGTCGAGACCGCTCAGTCCATCTCATGGAGCCCATGCGGTCTGAGAAGGCGACGGTCGACTCCGGTCCGGTCAGACCGACGAAGGCCATGGGGAGTTTGGGGGTGTTTTGGGGTGTCGTTTAGTTCTATTTGATGATCGTCATTATTATAGTTCTATTTATAGCCCCGAAGTGTCAGGTATCAAGGAGTGTCCAGTGTCCAACCACCCAAATCCCGGAAAGGGTCCTGGTACGCTCCAAAAAGTCACGCCCATGTCGACACTGCGCCCATGGACACCGCTCGAACCCTATGCGGTTTCCAGGCGCGAGTGATGATGGTCATGAGACCTCGACCAAAAGTGGTGTGAACATGATGTTGCTTTTCCAGATGAGTGATGGAGAAAGTCTCTGGTTAGACTAGACCTCAACCGTCCATTCATTCACCAGACCCCCACCTGAACCAGCGTCCAACTGGTCGGCACGAGTCGGACACGTTGACGAAGACCAGTCGGACGATCCGGGAGAAGACGACGAGCGAAAACCGGCGAAAACGGTCGGGTCTTTGGGTTCAGCTTTGGAGCGAATCGAACGCCCAACCTCGCCCCTGAAGAGCCATGGCAACGTAGAAGAAACGGAACACTGAAAATCATTGGGGACGGAACACACAGTTGAACACTCTTTGCGGAACACGAACATCTCCGCTATGAGACTCTTTCATTGCCCAATCTGCTACATGGTTTTTGAAACTTGTGTGCTCGAACCACCTGGTGATGGTCTCACCATGCGCCGAACCACCAGACCCGCCTCCTTTGGAAGATGTAGAGCGGTGTTTCTCCGAAGGAGATCCTTGGTGCCACATGACTCCATGGACCCCTTTCCCTGACCATCCCACAGCAAGTCATGTCTGTGCCAGCCGCCACTCCTGTGCTGAACAATACCCCTTTTGTTGCCCGCAGGGTTGCTACAATGACATTGGAAGGTGGGGCCGATCTTACTGGTCACCAGATCCGTATGGATCCAGCCCTATTTTCGGTTCCAAACCCAAACACCTCCTCAGGTGATCTCAGGTGTGGATCCTCTGGAGATTCCTGGACTGTCTATGTGCTTTACATTGCTTTACCGTCGCCATTGCCACAGCGACATCGACCCAAAAACACCCCAATGCGGGTACATATATGTAAGTATGCCTTTGGCACCTGAGTGGCCCCTGTTCTTGGAGCCGAAACATCGTCAATTCTTGTTAAAAAGAAGGGTCAAACGTGGGTTCTATAGGTGGCAGTCCCACTTGGTGTTATCAAACCCGCCACTCCCCACTCTTCTCAAGATCAGCGTCTCCAGTCGCACCACGTGCTGCGGGCTGATAGGTTCCAAACAACTGGGGGCAGCTTCAGTGCCCATGAAACAATGCCTGAGGCGCACCGTTTCGGGTGTCAACGAAGACCCGGTGACTGACCTGACCGGATGCCGCAGAGACCCGGCCGCCCAGCGACTGAACACCGGGCTGAAGAGGTTTGATGCACCATATTACCCTTGTTGCAACATCTTGCCAAGGGCCACAAGAACCATCAAAGGCTTGGAGTGTGACACATCTTTGCAATACACCGGTTGGTAGTATATATATATACACATATAAGTGGACCTTAATCGGTGATCTCTCTCGCTTGGAGTCAATTGTTTGTGCTTGATCCCACAATCTCCTAAAGGTTCCTGAGCTCTATAAGTGTATGAGCCGAAAACAAGCAAATACCTGACCCTGTCCATCGATGTGAAAGGTCGTCGTGAGGCCTCGACAAAGCTGAAGCAGCAAGGATTTCTGCAGTATTGACATCATAGGAATAGATTTCAAGTCTGTACTCTTCACACATGCGGCAGCATGAATGCCGTTTTCAGGCTGGCGGCATCGTTTCCGCCAGCAGGGATGAAATAGATTCAAGTCTATATTCAGCGATATTCCTGGTATCAGTCTGCTATCCACCCTGCTTTCGGTCGCCCTTGGCGCATGTTTGTCGTCAGTCCAGCCGTGAAACCACCGGTCTGGTGAGTCATTCGACAGATGGGTCCATCCGGTGTGTTGAAGGCAGCAGCGGCCTCGTCTATATAATGTAAGAAAACGCACAAGGGTTTGAACCGAGGAGCATGAGGATCACGTAGCTCCCAGGCTTCAACAGTTGGAATTTCGCTTCCAGCGCCTGAGGATGGAGGTGCTGTAGGACCAGAAAACCGCAAAGACTGGGAATGACACGGTGAAATTGCAAGAGCTTTTTTGCACCCGAGGGCATTGGTCACGCCCACTCATTTTGAGATTGGATTACAATAGCATGTCCAGAGCTCTGACAGCTTACCTTCAAAGCATGGGGGCTACTAATATGATTTGGGGGACCTGGTAATAGGCATCATGACTTCTGAATAGATAGCACAAAGCAAGTGGACCGCTTTCAATCCACCCGAGAAGACAGACCGTCGACTTTGGTGGGGTCATTTCGGGAGTGGAACATGGTTCCACTCCCCAACAGCGGAAAACGCCCACGACTGGATGTGCGGAACAACATCATCAACATCTCAAAACAATTCAACACATATACCCCCCAGGGATCAAGGATTCACACAGGATCACCGACTGGGAACATCAACACCTGGAGCTCTGGCAGAAATTCCAGATCAGTGCCAGGGTGTAATACTCCGTCGCATCGTCGTTCCAAAAGAGGATGCGAGTGACTTTTCTCGTTCCGAGACATCAAGTAGCGATGCACTGATGCACTTATTACTACCAGTCATGGCTTCTTAGCTACTTGTAGCGATGCCCGAGCTACTAGTACGTAGCGTCTTTGCACTGAGTCTGTGTTTTCCAGCCTGCATCATCTCCTCCGGGAAACACAGGGACATCGCAAAGACCACTGTGGCATCAGACCAATCCTGGAGGAGGGCTGCACGAACGGAGAAACCTGCCCCAAGAAACACCGAAGTGTGCTCAAGAACAAGCGCTTAATTGAAGAAGTCGGTTTCACATAAGTGTAAACATCCAGCACCAGCCAGTCTGTATAACAGCTTGATGATCAACTCACACATCCCGTGGGGGGAAGGTCTGTTAAACCACCCCAACTGTGCGGTGCGGTGCTGGAGGGATTCTGAACCTATATCAAAAAATACCATGGATATACAGGATGCATGGACCAGACTGGAAGACGATCTTGTCAGCTTCCCCACCTCTTTGGAGACCGGGGCCCGACTGGTCGTCGGTGACTGACAGAAGAACGACACAACGGTCCGGGCTTCGCTGCACCGGGGCTTCGCTGCGGGTGCATGGACCCTGAGAGACTGGACTAGTGACCAGGAAGGTCATCAGGGTGCAGAGGGCTCCAGGCTTTGGACTCAGCCATCTCATTCCAATTCAACTCGTCTCCTCCACCAAGAAGTCCCCACACACCAGCCGCAGCGGCGCAGTGCTCGAGGACCTCCCCAGCAGCTTCGCTGCAGCGGCTTCTGCGGCAGCGTGGAGGGAGGGAAGAAGTTCGATGCCAAGCACTTCGCGCCTCAAAAACGACGAAAAACACCGGCAAAGTCGGTGGATCTGTCAACCCCACTGAACCTCAAGTCGGTGTGTTTAGTTTTATTGTTTTTTTCGGTTCGAGGCTCCAGTCTTCGTTGCACCCGTACAGGACAGTCGGACATCAGACGGACCGACATTGGATCCAATTCGCCGAACTTACAATGTTTAAGTCAAACGTAACAAAACCAATGACACTCAAATACACTCAAGAACAATCCGCTTTATCACCCAGATGCAAGATCTCTGCAGACGTTCTTGCTCTATGTCTTCAAGATGGTAACGCATTAACGCTCTGTTTGGAGAGGCCGGCCAGTTAATTGAAATCAAATTCACCAATGGCGTGGCTCCTTGTTTTTCTTTGTTCACACAGCCATGCCGCATGCATCCGCACGTACATCCTGCACATCCTCCGAAGACATCTACAGGACTGGGCTCTCACAGCAGCTGCCGTGTTGCAGTGCCAAGACGTGGCGGATGTGCATTTGTATGCGGGGCAGGAAACCCCGTGTATATTTATATATATACCCGTTTGGGGAAATGACACTTTGTGGACACTTTGTGAAGGATCTTTCAATAGTATCCCTTGTACAAACTGTTCTGGAGAAAACCTTCCTGAATGGTCTTTAAAGTGACAAAATAAGAGCCTTGCAGCACCAAGATCTTTTCAACAGGTTGCCCGCGCCGGAACACTCCAGCTTTTCCGAGTTGCACAAAGGGGAAACCCAAGGCAGCTGCCAGCACCACCCGGCCTGTGCCGCTCCCCAGATCGACGATGAGGTCCTCACACCGGTTCCGCGAAAAAAGATCGGTGCCACTGAGTCACTCGAAATTGGCCGAAAAAAAACATCGACATCCAACTCTGTAGGTCTTTGGGGTGATATCATCGACATCCATCTCCGAAGATCATAGGGGTTTGAGGCTAAGATGCTTGCTATTTCCACTGGCAGGCTTTTGTAGGAGGCCTCCACCGAAGAAGTTGAGGTCGTAGATTGTGTTTCATGCACGCTATAACGTTATAACACTCAGGACCCTAAGGGAGTGTTACTGATGAAGGTACAAGACAAGATCAGTATATCTCCAATATGCGTCACGATGGAATGGTAAGGCCTTCTAGCCGCAGTAGAATTTCAGGGTTTTAGCCTGAACATCCATGGACCACGGAAAATACACACAGGTTCTTTTGTGAACCTGCGAA